TTATGCCTTATATTCATCCAAAAGTGCTTTTCCCCATATCCACATGAAGCCATGTATGAGATACTTCACTAGTATTATTTATGCTATCAAACCTAGTTAACAGTCACCAAAGGTCTGTACAATAAAATGCAGCGTATGAGCAAAATTAACTCTAGATGGATCTTGGACCTAAAGGCAAAGCCTATGACTACAAAACTGCTAGGAGAAACACAGACAGAAAATTTCAAGACATTTGTATAGGCACGGATTTACCAAAAACAGTAATGATGAAGACAGGGAAAGTCAAATTTAAAATCATCAACATTAAAAACTTATAGTAGTCAAAATGCATTTTTAAAAATAGAATAGCCAGGCAATAGGGGGAAAGTATCTGTAGTACCATACAGATATAAAGTTTGGTATCCACAAATAACGAAGTCTTCCAGGTCTATAAAATTAATAAATTAATGAAAAAGTGGCACGAAAGGAAAAAATAAACACTTCACAAAACAACCATTAAGCCCTTTAAAAGATGCTCAGTAAACCAAAAATTAAAACCAAAGTGAGGTACCAATACATGCCAGTAATATGACTAAGGTAAAAATCCAATAATACTGGCCACAGACATCTCCTCACAAAGGATACACAAATAACAAAGATGCTCAACATCACTGACCATTAAGGAAATACAAATTATGATCACAATCAGATTTTTTAAACACTGTTAGAATTTCAAAATGAAAACTAATAATGAATGTTGGTAAGGATATGGAGAAACCATAAATGCATAAATTATACATTTGCTGGTAAGGAATATAAATGTCTTAGCTGCTCTGGGAAATAGTTTGGCAATTTCTTAACAAAAGAAGAAATAAAAAAACGTAGGATACGCTTAGTACATGTAAGTGTCACCATCCAGTATTCACATTACTGGGCATTTGTCACAGAGAAATAAGAATTTACTTTTACACAAAAACATACTCACAGATATTCATAACTTTTATCTAGAATTACCAAAAATTATAAATAATCCATACGTCTTTCAATGAGTGAATGATTAAACAAATAGATAATTTATGTCACATTTACAAAATGAAAAGGTAAAAAAGTAATAAAAATAAAGCAATTGCACTAATTAACTTCAAAAGAAAGCTGAATGAAAGAAGCCAGTCTGTATCCTGGCATAGTAACAATGAATATAATTTCACAAAGTAGGCTCTCAAGTTCAAATCCAGTCTAGGCAAGTTAGACTCTGTCTCAAAATAAAAATGCACTGGGGGTACAGCTTAGTGCAAAGGCTCAATCCCAAGCATGACAAACAAACAAAAAAAGAGCAACACTCAAAATATTTTATACTGTTTTAATGAACCTTGAAACCAGAATGTTAAGCAAAATAAATTAGACACATAAGCTTAATTATATCATGGTATCTCTTGTATGAAACACAGAAACTATAAGGGAGATAGATCTTCTCCAACAGGAATGGGGTCAAGTGATGGATGGTGGAGAGAGAGGGGAAAGGAAGGGAATGAAGAAGAGTACGATGTGTTACATACATGCACCAACTCCTCCAAAAGGAATGTAAACATCACACACTACAAACAAGCACTAATAACATTCAAAGAGTATTTATACTGTATGATTGTATTTGTACAAAACCTAGTACAGGAAAAAAACTAATCCACTATGACAGAAAGATGAGTGATTTCTTGGAGCTGGGGGTAGGATTGCACGGAAGGGATACCATCGTATATGTGGAGGTAAACAAAATGTCCCATCTGTGATGTTGTTTCCAGGGATGTATGAATTTGTCAAAATGTTTGTCAAAACATTTGTCAGTAAACTGGACACTTAAAAATGAGGTTATTCTTTTGTATGTATACCTCAATAAAGGTAATTTCTAAAAAAGGTAGAATGTGTGAGGAATAGAATGTCAGTAACAAATAGAGGCCATGAATTCACTGTGCAAACAGCAACATGGAAAAATGAGAAAAATTCTACAAGCGAAATTTATATCATTCTATGTTAGGATCAATGGAAAAGCAGCTTGTGATAGTTTTGAAGGGTGTCAACTGCAGAGACATCCATTGTAGGTAAAAATCTTGGCTCCACACCTGTGAGCTGTGCACCCTGGCAAGCTACCAACATGAATAAGAATATCTGCTTCATGAGGCTGTTTTAAGGACTCAATGGGTAAATGCTGATGAATGCTTAACAGTATCTTGAATGTGAAAAATATTGGTGATATATATATATATATATATATATATATATATATCCAGGATAAATATATATCTGCCTAAGCTGAAAAGTAAAATATAGAGACATGAATTCAATGACTTTCATAGATAGTTAACAAAGGGAGAGATGAGAGGATTATGAGCTGAATGAAAAGGAATAAAGTAAAATAAAAGTTAATAGTGATCAAGGATGAAAGTTTTCCATAACTAAACAAATGGTGTATACTTGAGATCGTAAGGTGAAAAAACTACATTAAAAAGAACATTGAAAGAGCAAAACTGTTGTGAACTAGTTCACCTTTTGTCTTGCATTACTGAAATTCTAAATAATGTTAGTCTAAAAATGACACTGAGACATAAGAAAGAGGAAAAAATCAAAGACATAAAATATTAGACTAATGTACTGTTAAATACACACACACACACACACACACACACACACACACACACAGACATTCACACATATATAGACCAAATGCATTTTAGAAAGACTTTGCATCATGTTCTTAAGTGGGATGTTAAGATAAGAAGTCTTAGATAGCTGTCATTATTTATGTATCTCACCCCAAAATTGAAAGCTACATGAAGATGTACCAGTCAAACAGTGCTAGTACATAGCACTGGTCATTAAATAGCTGTTAATCTTATTTAATGACCATCACTGAATGTCTACTTATGTGCAAGTGTTCTAGTTATCTGTACACAGAACAAACGCTCTTCAAAAAGCAGCCCAATTAAAATGGCCATTGGAAGCTCAAACAAGAGTCTGACATTTTCAGAAACAAATGCAAATCTACTATTAATGGAGGTTTTGCCAGAAAAATCTTTAAAAGTATAGCTGAAGCAGAAGAAAAAAAAAAAAACCTGTGAGCTTCTTAAGAAAGAAAGGTCTTTTGAAAAAGCATTAAACTTATTCATGAGGCAACAACAGTTCACTAAGATTTCTGATCATAACCATTATGTACTCAAAAAGGACCCCTCATATTGAATTATATTGAGTTTCAAAAATACAATCCTGCAGCTGCTATATTAAAAATGTGTTTTATTATATATCCACTGTTTTACTGCCCAGCAAGGTTCCATATTAAAGAGAAAGGGGTACAAAAGAACCAACAGCAATTTGTGAGCACAAATAAGCTGCATCTTTGCTGAAAAAATTATAACATTACAAGAAAAGTAAGCATTTCAACAGATATCAGAAATAAAAAAAGAGTGGACCTGGAGCTGAACATTACTAGAGATCGTAAGGTGTATACTTGAGATCATAAGTAAAATTTACTTCTAAGGAGGAAATATTGTGGTATCTATGGGCACATCTTAAGCACTCTCAGTTGAGTGGTTCTCAGTTAAACAACACTAACCCTTTGGGACCAGGTCACAGACTTACCCAGAGTAGACTGCCTATACCCAGCATCACAATCTGAAAAAACTCATCAGCAGCAGCTTGCACTTTAAATCCACAGGGATTTTTTTTTTTTTTTTGCAATTTTGCAGAGATCCTCCATCCTGTCTGCACAGAAGATGCGCTCAAAGGTCTTTCTAAACTACAAGACATAGATCCTATCAGTTAAATAAGAATTAGTAGTAAAGCCATACAATATGCTAGAGGCCATACAGTCTCAATTCATCAGCCAAATTTAAAGACAAGTTTTCTTTCATTAAACTTTTAAATGTTTAATATATTTGTAGACTCCTATGCAATTGCAAGAAATCGTAAAGACAGAATCCTCTGTACTGCCTACCATAACTCTCCTGGTAGTGACATCTGGCAAAACTTCAGGCCAAAATGACAATCAGGATGTTGACATTGACACAGTCAGCACATAAAACAATTCTCACTTGTTCTCATACAGCAGATTTTTGTCATATAAAACTCCTCTGTTGTCCTTTCATAGATACAACTGCCTCCCTCTTCTCTTATCCCAAACTTGTGGCCCTGATTCCTGTCATCACTAATATTCTTTATTTTGTAATTTTTTGTCATTTTAAGTATGTTACATATTTCAATATGTGACCTTTAAAGATTGATTACCTTTGATTCAGAGTAATTTCCTGGAGATCCATACTCATTTAACTATTTACCACTGAAGAATATCTGGGCTATTTCCTTTGGGCTTCTTAACAGTAAAGATGCTATGAAAGGGGCTGGGGATTTAGCTCAGTGGCATAAGCACCTGGTGCCTGGCAAGCACAAGGCCATGAGTTTCCCAGGACCCCCCCCAAAAAAAGCTATGAAAATTCCTGTAAATGTATTTGTATAACTGTAAGTTGTTGTATCTCTGAGACAAATAGTCAAGAGTACAATTGTTGAGTCATATAGTAATTACATGTTTAGTGTTATATGAAATTATCACACCATTTTCCACAGTAGCTTCACCATTTTACATTTCAGCAGTAACGTATCAGTGATCCAGTTACTTTAGACCATCTTCAGCACGATGCACTGTTACTTTCTTGGTCGTTCTGATAGCTGTGTAGCTGTAACTTACTACATCTTTTGTGTTTAATAGCTACGAATGGTGAAAATATTTTCAAGGTTCTTGCCGCTGTGTTACCTCTGTAGGGAATGTTTCTTCTTGTTTTTTACCCATATTTTAAAATGGGTTGTTTTGGTTTTTAAAGTTTGCAGAATTCTTTTCCTAATCTAGATATTGTGGGGTGGTTTTGATTTGTTCACTCTGTGGTTTGCAAATATTTTCTCCCAGTTCGTAGTTTATCTTTCTGTTTTCCTTTCACAGAACAAAGTAAGTTAAGTTTATCAATCCTTCTTTCTATGGATCCTTCTTTTGGCATTAAGTCAGAATTCCTTGTTGAGTTTAGATCCTGAAGACCATATTCTAATTTTTTTCTAAAATAGTTACATTTTAATATGTTTTTTATTAAAGCTCATGACCCCTTTTGATCTGCATTTTGTAGATGTGTGGTTTAGGTTAGGTTCATTATTTTACCTATGAATGTCCAATTGTTCCAGCACCATTTGCTGCAATGGCTATCTTTCCTCTATTGAACTGCTTTTGCACCTTTGTCAAAATCTGAGTTGGCCATAACTCTGTAGATTCATTCCTGAGTTCCACATCCTGTACCACTGATGTATGTGTCTTTGCCTCTAACAATATCACATTGTCTTGGTTCCTGCTGCTACAAAGTAAGCTGATAATCAAAGTATTTTTTAGTGTAAATTAGGTCATGTCCATTTCCAGTCTGAAAACCTTCCAATGCCTCCTAACACATTAGACGGATATTCTACCCCCTTATTCAGGCTCACAGACTTCTGTCAGCTAGATCTCCACCAGCTTCTCGGGTTGCACTCTACATGCTCATAAGTATTATCAGTCTTGTTTTTTTTCCCTGGGCACATCTTAGAAACTCTTCACTGAAATGCTCTTGCCCCAAATGTTTACATTTTGTTTTTTGTCATCAGTTCTCAATTTAAATGGCTTTCATTAAAAAGACTTCTTTGACGACTCAATCATCCTTGTATAACTTCTCTTCAGCATTCTTGGTATTTTTGTCATTTATTTACTTGTTGAATTGGCTCCCTGACCTGAGAACCACAATCTAAGTTTCATATGAACACAATCCTTGTCTGTCTTATTGCCATAAATATAGAATCTAAAATATTGCTTTTCACAGGGTAGAACTATAATTAGTATTTTCTAGATAAAAATTTCTATTTAAGAAATCTAGCATGAGAAATAACTATAGAAAAAACAAAAATAACTAATACCTACTGATGAAATTAAATGTAGTTTTTAGACTTCCATGATAGAGATTATGACAACAGCCAAAATCTTTATAACCCAGCACTTTTAATTTGATTAATTCAAGCTCTAGCCACCAAAAATTACTATATTAGAAATGTGTGGCATAAAACAGATTGGGAGTTTTCCTAATATGACTCATTTCTGAGGTAATTATTACAGCTGCAACACACTTAGTTGTACTCTAGACTTCAGTAGACCAAACCCTCAATAACATATTCAGTGCATTTTGATCTTAAAATAATCGTATCACACTAGTTTTGATTCAGCTCATAATACTAATCCTTCTCACCTTTGAAATTCTAAACAACAAATGAGGGCCTTATATGAGTATCATCTGAAATTCTGAAACTGTACATATCTCTAGGACAAAGCTGTATAGAAGACTGTTTTATCCCTTTAACTGCCGTGTTCTGATCTAAAGGTCCTCAATTCTTCAATTATTTATTTCCTCTAAGGGGAATAAAGAATCTAAAAAATCAAAAAAGTGTTTACTATTTACAAATCATTTCATCATTATATCTATGAACAAAAATTAGCAATTCATATAGGAATTACTAGGAAGTATTCTCCTTCCTGCAAAAGAAAAAAAAAAACACATTAAAAACTAAAGTAATGAACCCTTGGCTTTTGTCTTTGACGGAATGTCTACAGGCCATTCTTCAATGTACTGTTTTGAAATTTAAAAACTCAATCTCATAATTCAAATTTTTATTTATGTACATACATTCAAAATTTGGAAACAGAAAATCTCAGTTAATTATTTCTGCATAATTTTAATGTTTATGAAATGTTTTGAGAATTTCTATGATCATGACTATGCAAAGTCAAGACATCCTGGTTTTTATTACACAAAACTACCTTCATATTTGTGAGGGAATAAGGTCAATTGTCCTTTTTTTTTTAATCATACACCAGCTCCATTTGTCACAAATAACAATGGCACAACAAACAAACTGCACAAAACTAACTGGACAGTTGTCAAATATTAAACACCCCAAAAATAAGGGTTTCCTAAATTTCTTTGTGAATTTGTAAAACAGGAAACACAGCAATCATTTGCAGAAACTTACTTGGTTCTCTATGGATTTCACAAATATTTTTTTGAGAGATCTCCTGGTCCTGTACAGGAAAGGCAACATGATGTAAAAGAGTCATGGAGAAAACAATTTAAAGTCACATTCCCTCTCAAAAAGCTTTGGTATTAACAGAATAAAATACCCTAATGGATATAGTCAATTATATAGGAATATTAAAATAAACATGAAAGTTCAGCTCATCCATTAATGGAAAGGTTATTGCATAGCAAGAAAATGAATTTTCATATACTATTAAGTTTAGACACTAAAATGAACTGAAGAAACTAATTACTTAAAACAAAGAATGGCCTTTGGAAGCACTGCTGTCTGAAAGGATTTAATGGTCAAAACTTGCTTGGATTATTACCATAAATTAAACTAACGATAGGATGAAGATACTGTTGACAGAAGAGAAGCTCTCCTGAAATGCTAACCTTGCCATTGCTGCGATATTATGAAAAAAATCAATGTCCAAATAAACTGTGCAGTTAAAGCTTTTACAGAAAATAAATACCACAGTGTTTATGCAGATAGGTTTGTCCAAAGCAAAAATAAACTGCAGTGATACAATAGAGACCAGAACAATAGTAAATGTTGTGTCCCAAATGAAAAGTAAGTCAATACCCACACAGTGAATCAGGAAGAGTCAAACTATGATTTTCAGCTATTTGCAGAGGTATTGTGAGCCAATATGTGTGTAAATCTAAGTATGTATTCACATTACAGACATACACAAAGCCAAAAAAAAAAAAAAAAAAAAAAAAGGAGATGGTGTGAACATCACTGCCCAAAGGTAAAATGACCTACAGGCTACTTGAAAAAGTATAACCAGAAGAGAAATATAACTAAGAAAGTTTAAATATTACCTTGTCTGTTTTCTTTTTTTAAAAATGCACTTGAAGAATGATATATAAGACACCTATCACAAGACAGCCACAGAAATAAAAATTTGAAAGGGAGCCTATGTACAAGGGGCTTTTCTACTGGGAAGGTGTTCCTGACTTCACTTGTTGGGTAACAACAGAAAGTAGAATAAGAGAAGTTCTCTGACAAACACAATAACACCCAAAACTTCCTGGGTTGTTTTTAGGAAGGAGAGACTTTATTGTCTTTGACTTATTATGATATGTGGCTTCCAGAAGCTTACAGGGGATAGGGACAGTAGAAAGCCGAATAAGGGAAAGCAACCAGAGAAGACTATGACCAGATACTCAGGTAGAAGACCATATTTTTAGAAAAGGACTGGTATTTTGGGAGGAATTTAAAATTCTAAAAGTAATAAACTAGTATTCTCATTATCTGTAATACATGTTTCTCATTTATTTGGTAAACCTATACCAAAAGAACTAATATCTTGAATATATTGAATAATTGGCTTTCAGAACCTGGAAAATTAAGAACCAGATCCCGGTACTTGGTCTGAAATCAACAGGTCCCCTATGAGACTATCTCATTGTCCTAAATGAGATGATGATGCCACCGTATCTGCAGTGTTTCACAAAAATAAAGTGGTTGGGATTCAGGTGAAGCAAGTTCTGAGTATAGTAGAAGAAAGAGAAGAGCAGGTAAGAGAATCATAGATACCTTCTAGAAATTAACACAAACTTCAAATATATCTCATAGGTCTCTACATGAGAAGAAATGCAGGATGCTGCAAATTTATAGGAATAATAATGTTACCATTATTTTTAAAAGATTAAGATTTAGATCAAGATTGTAGCTGGGCATGGTAGTACACACCTGTAATCCAAGCTGCTTGGGAATCTGATGTAGGAAGATAACAAATAAAGGCTGGCATGGGTAACTCAGAAAGTCTCTTTCTCTCTCAAAAACATAGTGTTTATAGTTTCTATCTGTTCATTTTCTTCTACATTCCATTTTGTGTTTCTAAATGTTCCATAATGCACATATATAATTCAGGTAATGAGAAAATAATTTCAATTCATAAATATATAAAACAACAGTACTGGGGCTGGGGATTTAGCTCAGCGGCATAAGCGCCTGCCTTGCAAGCATGTGGTCATGAGTTCGATCCCTGGTACCGATAAAAAAATAAAAAGCAAAAAAACAGCACTACCCTAAATGATATAACAGTGAATGCACATCTGTTTTAGTCACTCTCTGGTCACTGGGATGAATTAACTTATAGGTCCAATTTAAAGAAGAGGTTTATTTTGGCTTTCAATCTTATTGAAGACCACAAATTCACAATGGCTAATTTTACATACTTCTCTAAAGGATAAAATGGAAGTTTGGATTATTGTTAGCACCCATTTGAGATTTCCCATTGACTCTTTAAGGATGAACCATCCTCTCCCATACACTAAAACTAAATTTAAGATCATATAAGCCCTCTTGAGTCATCACACGATTATACTGCAGGACAAGATCCATTTTAGCATAAAATCATCTACACTCTCTTTAGGACTCCCAAGATTATACTTGCCTATTGAATCATAAACCTCTAAGTCTTCCACCAAATTGGAATTTTTTACTAGCTCTGTATACTCCTAATAAATAGTGGCTGTTTTGAAGTATCAGGAGAGAACCCATCTGGAGGCGTCAAATTCCCAGCACTGATGTAAGATTAAACTAGTCTATGTTTTTTAAAATTTTCTCACTGTACCCTTAATATAGACAATCAGGGCTCTTTGCTGGGCCCCTGATAAGTTTCAGAAGTTTCAGTCCATGGTACTATGCCTAAATGCACAAACAGCAGAGTGGAAGGGCCTATGCAAAGGAAAGCTACTCATTCACAGTGGCCAAGAAGCAGACAGAGCAGCAAGGGTCAGGGAAAGGAGATACGCTCCTCCAGGTCACGCCTGCAAGGACCCACCTCTTCCTACATCCTAATAGTAATAGTAAGTCAGCTTTGTTGCCCTCATGATGCCATCACCTTCCAAATGCCTCACTCATGACTGTATGAGACCTTTGGGATATATTCTTGATCAAAACCATCTATTCAAACCCATAGAATGTACAACACCAAGGACTGAACCTTATTATAAAATATGGAATTTGAAAGATAATACCTGAATGTTGGTGATTCTTCAGTTGTAACAAATGAATCACGCTGACAAGAAATCTTGATAATTGTGGAGACTCTCCATGTGTAGAAATGGAGATATATGGTAAAATCTTCTGCTTAATTTTATTATGAACAGAAAATTACTCTAAAATATAAAGCCTATTTAAAAATCTAGCATAGATCTGACATTACTCATCATGCAACTGTATCAATGCAGTCTCAGAAATATTTAAATGTCTTTTCTTTGTATACATTAGATCATATTGACGATCAATGAAATGAAAATGTATATGGGGCTGTATTCTAAATCTAGAAGGGAGGTACTAAAAAGAAGGCTGTGATGAGCTCTCCTAATAAAATAATGTGATATATTTAGTCTTTAGGGACCTTTTCAATTTGGTGATTTTCTCTAATTTTTTAGTCCTTATGCTGGACCATGGAAACCAAATAAGACTAACAGTTTGCTAGCCTCCACAAAATATGGAGAACAAAAATCTATATTTTAATATTCAGTAGCCATATTTTGTATATTTAGGGTTACATAATTTCTCATTATTAAAAGTGTTGCTGGTATTTAAAGAACTGGTTAATTATTTTAAAGCTTGCTAAATACAGTGTTAATCATTAGATCAATATTTCAGTTCATTTCCACATAAAAAGATAAAAAACAAGAAGGAATAGAGATAGTGCTGTAAATAGCCATCATTTTAAATTACTTTACAAATATTGATACCTTATTTTTAATCCTAATAGCTCCTCTATTGATCTGCATCACACTTTAAAATTTTTAATTTTAAAACATTTGTTTTATATTAGTACTTCAAACAGGAAACTTTAAAATGATAAGTGTTTGGCCATGAATCCCACTACTTATTTTCTCATCCTCATTTAAATAGCGTTTACTATTACCATCAAGTTGTCGAGTTTTGATTTTTGGTTCCATTACCATCAAGTTTTACTGAGAGATTTTAGTCCTGAACTTTGCTCTAAGTATGGTTGCTTGTCCTATACCTAAAATACAAACAGTAAACAATTATGATTATCTACCCATATTAGATAAAAATATAGAAAGTTCCAGAATAACCTTACTTCCCAATATTATGCATACTATATACAATATGTAAAGTCTAACCTGGGGTTGAGTATGTAGCTCAGTGGTAGAGAGCTTGCTTAGCATGCTTTAGGGCTTCAATTTGATCCCCAGAACCACCAAAAGTAAAATTCAATTACAAATAATAAAATTTAGCTTTTTATAAAAATAACATATCATTCTAAAATACTGTACAAGCAAGCATACAATATTATGTATTAATTCAATAATTTTCTAGCCTAACATCCTTACAATTTTTATCATATACATAATTTATAAAATATGTCTTTATTCTTCAACAGGTTTATTTTCTTACTGGAAATTGTTTTCTGTATGTTGCCATTCTATTTCTAACTTTCTTAGAGATGGTTATCTTAGTACAAATTTTCCTGATTCATGAGATAACTTTATGTAATTAGGTTTAAGTTCAGTAATAAGAAAATCACATGAAAGCTCTATTTAAAAAACAGTGCAAATCACCCTACTCAGCTCTCATACTAAGATAATCAGAATAAATATATATGATATAATTGAATATTTAAAGAAACCCTACACATTTTTAAAAACAGAGATGTTAAATGAATTGTTTCACAGAAGTAAAACTATTACATTGATATTTCAACTAAGTCTCTTAAACTTTTTCTACATTCATTTATCTCTATAGAGAATCTCAGTTTTATTTGCTGCCTACAAGACTATTTTCTTAAAACATGCAATATAGAGGAAACAGCCCCATACCAAAAAGTAGATGTAATATATAACCATGGTAGTGTTCTGCTTCACAGACACATTGTGACAAAATGTTACTAACAGAAAATATTAACATATACTTCATGAACATATGAAACTTAAATAAATGAAAAAGTTAAATAAATTTAAAAATCTAACAAAAACATTTTAATTGACATAGAACAAAAAATAGAAATTGAGTCTTATTTTTGATTTAGGCATCTATATAAGGATATGGAAATGCAATAGGAATTCTTTTAAAAGTACCTAATAGAGAGTCTTCAAACTTTCCATTTTAATGTTACATCTTTTGCATCAGCCTTTACATGTGTATAAGGAAACAAAAAAACGAAGCCAGAAGTATTATAAAATTGATAAGAGTGAACTACTATGATTTTAAAACACCTGACTTTTCCTAACCAATCTTACTTTAATAGTATCCTCATACACAGGAAAGAAAATTAGATGGAATAAATGAAAATAGTACTCTTGTCATAAACTTTGAAATATAACATTTTAATGAAAAAGTCTGCAGGAGAATATAGAGGAGAGAAAGATGTATTCTTCAATAATAATTGAACTCAGCCTGAATTCGTGAGAACATCCTTCAGTTTTGCAAATTGCCTCCCATTTGCTAGGAACCATTCTTCTATGCCAGCTTAAAATAAGCAAAGATTACACAAGTACCATGTGCCATCCTAAATAAGGAAAGGGGGAAAAAAACAAGTACAATATGATATTTAAACAGCTGTGTGAAGCTACTGGTTAAAACAAGAATCGTTTTTCAGCTGAGCTTGTTGTGCTTCATTTTGCTAAATATAAACTAGTGCATCATTAAATTAACCACTGATTTGTAGACTAAGAACAGAGCTCCACCTGCAAATAATCCAATAAACACAATAATTTTTCAAGTGCTTATGAAATTGCTATAATTTGGGGTTGAGATTGTAGAGAATTAGTAAAAATGCAGAAATTATTTTGCAGCTATGGTAGGCAAAATACAATTGTTTTCACTATTTGTAATTTTATTAGAGTGAACTGAAAAATTTACAATAAACAAGACATTTACAAATACCCTACAAAGAATTCTACATACAGCAATTAAGGAACATTACTACAGAAAATCAACCTTTTGGAAACAAACAAAAATGTTAAATGTTGTATGATCTGCCTAACTGACCATTACAAGTAAATGAAGTTGAATTAGTTGATGAAATAGAAGAAGACAAGCGTATGCTCAAAATAAGTTTGCTTCTAAAGATCCACAAGGTATCACTGAATACATAAAATAAATTAATTTACTATGTAGCATCTTCTTAGTCAAAGAATCAATGCTTATTCAAATATATCCTCTCAGTTGTTTCTTCTGATTATATCAGAGGTTTTTATTTTCTCAGAAGTGAATAAAACATTGTGGTAAAACATAATAACCAAATATGTTCAAAGAAAAATAAATGTGCAATTGAAAAAAAGCTATGGTCTGTGTACATTAATTTATACTACTAATTTTGCAGATACAGTCCATGAAATCCTCCTATACCAGAAAGCTCAACAGATAGAGTTCACCCCAGGCGCAGAAACAATGACAACACATGACTGTGTACTGAACCTTCTAAAACTGTGAACAAAAATAAACATTTTCTCCTTTTAAATTGAATCTCTCAAGTATTTAGTAACAGTCTCAGAAAGCTGACTAACATAATATGGGAAAAAACTTACAAGACTAATAGCTATATACTAAGTATTTAATGAGAACATTCATTTCCAAAATTCCTGGGATTTAATTATTATTTTTTCTAATTTCTCAAATGGAAGAAAAATTCCACAGCTTTGCACTTGGCTTCTTCTAGCATAATGTCCCCATTACATGGCTCGAAAAGCCAATCTCTAAGGTCTAAAAGCTATAGATGTCTTGGAAATAAACATTCAAGAACCTGGACAATGATCATGTGGAGGACAAGTAAACTCTGTAACTGAGTGAAACCAGCTCAAGTTAAAATGAAAGAAAGAAGAGTGGGAAAGGGTGAATCAAGAAAGTAGAAAGGGGAAAAAGGAGGGAAGGGACTTAGGGGAAAGAAACAAGGTAATGGAGAGGAAAGGAGAGGAGAGGAGGGGAGGGGAGGGGAGGGGAGAGGAGGGGAGAGAAGGGAAGGGAAGGGAAGGGGAGGATAGGGAAGGGAAGGGAAGGGAAGGGAAGGGAAGGGAAGGGAAGGGAAGGGAAGGCATCTGTCATTCAGTCTCCAAAAGATCCTACTCAGAGCAAAAAATAACAGCAATGTTTTGAGTTCCTCATAGAATTAGTCTCACTCATGATTCTTAGAAAAACTGAGAAATCTCCTTTCTACAATGTGAAACCACACTGTTAAATGACTGGATTTCAACAGGGGCCACATAAAGGAATATTTTCAGTATATATTTGTAGCAATAGCAAAAAGCTTATCATCAAAGGCTTTCAATAAAGGGTTCTGGATCTGTAAATGGACTCAGAAGTAGAAATTGAATGAGATGTCATAGTGCTTGATGATAGTGAAGAATATCAGATTTCTGTTCACAGAACCCAAAATATCTCTACACCAGAAAGCTGTATTTCAGTGACAGCCTACTCACCACCAATAACTACACACTAATTCGCAACACTACAGTTGTCAATTTGCCTCTTCTGCCTGCTTTACAGTTGCACTTACCCCGCCTCCAACAGTTTCACTAGACACTCAGGCACTACAGGATTCTATCATTCCATTGAAACAGATGTGTCCATTTCAACATTGCCACATAAGACCACATACAAGGCACACAGAATGAGCCATCACAGGATATTTTAAGGACATTGTTGCTCCCTTCACCAATTCATTTCTCATTGCCAAAACTTAACGAGGGAAATAATATACTCACTTTAACAGTCTCTCTTCTTATGCCTTCCTATTTTTTCACTGTTAAGTTAAACACATTGAGGGCTGTAACAGAACTCTAAGAAAGTAGAAATTATTCTCACAGAAAAGTAAAGGGGATCATTCCACAATAAGGCATTGAGGATAATCCAAATGAGCCATGGAAATGGGCTTCAAATACAACAGGTAGTCAAGGCAGTCTACCTAAATCTATTTGTTTCAATTTTATATCTTCCATTCAATTCTTATGTTTTATGTAAGAAAGCCAGAAAGGTTGTAGATTTAACTTGTACTTTAGCTGTATAACTCTCATGTTTGAGAATGGTTTCTTAGTTTTGGCCGCACCAGCACTATAACAGTAAAAGGTAAGACACTCTTGGGTTGGGGAGGTCATCATGAATTTATTTCACTGACCATCCTTGAACTGAATTTGAAGTCCTGCCCTCATACTTTTCCATAAACTCTCCATTGCAGTCAAAAGCAACCATCACAACTCACAGTGCTAATTCATTATCGCCATCAGAGCAGCTCATTACTACTTCTATTTTCTATCCCAAAGATTTGGCTTTAGGAATTTCTTCACTTCCAGTAAAAAATTTTACAATGTAATTCAGTAAACTATTTCTGCATGCCATGCCAACTTTCCCCTGGAATGAGAGATTCCATGACATTCACCTTCAGTTGGTTCACATATCCATCCCAAATTTTCATCATTTAAATCATATTTTCAAAGATCATTCCTGACTGATGTCCATACAGAAAGCAGAAACTATGCAAGATATTTTCATTGTAGGGAATTTAATACAGAAAGTTATCAGAAGCTGCGGAGGGAGATAGAAGTGGATATACCTGAAAGTGCAAAACAAAACCACGGTAGCAAGCCAAAGACAGCTGCGATGCTAAGCTGCGGGCTGCAGGCTGCAATTACTGTTGAGCTTCTGCAAAGGTTTCTGAACCTATGACACATATGCCACAGTGGGCACACAAAGCCCTGTCAGCATGTGAGCCAAGTCGCCCCAGCCAAGGTTTGACAAATGATCAGCATGCATACAACAACAAAGATCACACTAACTGTGCAAAAGTATGCCAGATGCAAACTTTTACCTTTCAAAAAGAAGCTGTTTGTATCATTGAAAGCTCTGTTACTGTATTCAAGACAAAAAATTTTAGTGTATGAGTTGCTTTTGCCAAACTAAAACATCAGTATTCAGATTTAATTGCAGGGTTAGCACTTAGGAATAAACAAGTGGGCTTTAGGTTGTAGTTTGAGTACTCATTCTAACAGGTTTGCTATCACTGGTTTGGGCATTTACTTTGTTGTTGAGTTGCTTTAGCAAAAATTAAGGTACTTTAAGAAAATTCTTGCAACATTAATAATCTGATATTTTAAATTTGTAATTTTAACATTTTATTACTGTTGTAAATTCTACATGTTACTGTTTTTACTTTTAAAAAAAGATATGTACACAGTTACATTTTAAAAATTTGTATTATTTCCAGACTCACTTTTGATTAGCGTGAATTATGTTAAATAAATATTAACAGAAAATTAGCATTTACTTCTAATGCCATTCTTACAAAATACTCATCCAAACTATGGAAAATTATGGAAATAGAGCCATATTGGATTATGATTTAGCAATTGTATTTCAAAGAAAATTTCCAACATCGGAAATGAAACTTATTTCTGAAAATAATACCTTTCACTGCAGAATATGATCTTCCCTATTGAAACAGATTATGGAATGATTTTCAGTGTCAGTGTTTGGGACAAACACAGAATAATTGAAGAGTGATGAGAATGTTAATACTTCACTGACTGCCATTCTCTTCTGACTCAACTTCTACCTCCTTCCCCATCCTGGGCTTTCTCACCAGAAAGAGTCTTGCTTGAATCTGCTATGTAACTCTATGATTTTGAAGAGGGCATTCTGGAAATAACATTGTATCGCATTTGGAACATATGTATGTGTTTATAATGTGTAACACATTAGTGCAGAAGAATATTTTACTTCTTGTGCAGAGATGCTTTAGTGCTTTAATTGTGGTCTTTAAGCTATAAAGCATCAGGGTCACAATTTAATATTGCCGAACTGTCCTCTGGATTCTGTGAGGGTGAAAAAAGAATGCTCTCAGCATTTTATTGAATGTGACATGATTACAAATGGTTTGCCAGCAAGTCTTGAAAGCGTAACCATATATTCAGCCTAGCTCTGTCTACAGACATTATTTGATAAGATTTAATTAGATTATCAAAATATAAAATAGTCCCACTTAAGCCATATGTTGTCTTTCTGATTACCACAGTGGTATGAGAGGGTGTTTTCTCTTTGGTCATTTTAATGTGTGAACAAAATTTAAGGTAATTACGACAAAGAAACAATTTATGTTGATGGTTAACTTCTCATTAATTAGCAGGCTAACCTAAAAACTGTTCAATGAATTCTAGCAAATGCTGAATTTTATGAAGAACAGACAATTTATTTGCTCATTAATTGATTTGAAAGTATTATTTCCACACTCAAAATATAAATAACATCATCAATCTAATTTGTCTCAGTTTAAGAACTGAAATGGATGTGACCATTTTTATAATTATGATTTAGTATTCGGTAAGTTTGGCAAGGTATTATCGTTAAAAAGTGATTTCTTCTAAGTTATCTTTTGACTTAAAAATTTGTTATACAGCTGAGAACTAGAAAACTTTTCTGTTTGATCTGAACCATAGATATGCTTTCTAATTAATTTTTTGATCAAGGATTTAGCTGTGTTCTATCAGTCTGATTGTTCCTTTATTTTTTTGTCAAATGGTGTATGCCTGTGTGTGTAGGTGGTTATCAATATATCTTACAAGATCCTTTATAATCTGACTCTGCTGACATGCTCAATCTCTTACCACCACCACAGTTATAACCAATAACATGAAACTACTTGAAATTATTTAATTAGCCATATTTTCTCAGCACTACTTCCTGACCATTCTTCGGGAAAATATTGTTAGACCTTTCCAGTTTGAATAGGTGACCTATCTCTGCTCCTCAAAACATATTCCTCTGTCCTCCTTCCACAGCATTATACTACTTTGAACTGTTTATGTTTTCCGCTCTATTTCCATCTTTAACTGTAAGATCTTTGAATTTGGAAGCAATCCTATTCATATTTATAGTGACTACCATAACATTTGGAGCAAATGAAACTCTCCATAAATACTTACTGAATAAATTAACACTTAAAAGTGGGATATAGTGGTACATAATTTCATGCTTTAAGAAAAAAATGGCCACCAAAATATAGATGAACTATGAACTAAGTACCCACAAGGTCTGCCCAAAGAAAGAATAGCTGAAAGGTTGTCAGAAATCCCAGGACCTCTTATAGATCAGGAAGGCTACACAATCATGAGGGTCTTCACCGCTGACTCACCCTCCTTTGCCCCTCCTTACTAAGGACAGAACCTGGTGAGCATTTAAAGCAACACCCAATTGGCTCAGTGTCAACAGATTTCAACTCTATTGAAAGTAAAGGATCTTAACTAAAATCCTGCTTCCTTTTATGATTTAATCATTGCATGCTGATCAAGTAAATAACAGTAATTACAAAGAACGTTTCTCATCCATTTTGATTGCCCCTGAGAAGCTTAGGACTCCTCTCTGATTTGACACAAGGTATAATGTCCTTGATTAAATATAAATATTCTCAATGGCTAAAAAAATATGAAAATCACTTTTCTAAATTATTTATCTTTGAGACTGAAATTCTCAGGTTTGTAATGCATCAGAGGACCTTTTTAAAGGGTACTTTAAAAGCCTAAAGAAACCCAAAACGCTAAGCTTTATCTAAAGTTTAGAGTAATTACGTAGCCATTACCTAGAATTTCTAAATATAGAAACCCTTCAATATAAACACCTAAATCTAAATATTCCTTTACATACTAATTTTCCAAAGTCTAAAATGAAAGAAAAAAAAAACTACACACTTGTCACGTCAATTAAAATATGTAAAACTGCAGTGGTTATTACAGAAATATTCAGCATGCTTTTATAAAATATGAAGATTTTTATCTTTGCTTTTGTGACTAAGTAATTACATTAATGTATCTTGAATTATAGTACAAATCCTTAAACCTAAATGACTTTAAGTTAAAACACAAAGTATGTTAAATCCCTAAGTATAATTGCTCATTCACAGCAATGAAGGTACAGTACTTCCTTTCATCTTGAACTTTTATGATTTCTGCTGGACAAAACAATCCAAAGAGATTTTTCTATAAGAATTAATATAATACTTTCTAATATGTAGCCGTGAATGAATAATTAGTCTTTAAACATGTTCACTGAGATTTTAGGACTTAGTATTTGCTGACTAATAATAAATAAGAGGCTATCCCAGAAGTTCCTTTATCCATAAGTAATAGGAATAGTACATGGCAGAAAGCATACTCACAGTAAGTATGCTTTGAGGTTGAATTGGCCCCATTATTGGTTAGACACAGAATTTTAGTTCACATGATAGATACCCTGAAACTGAATTGAGCACAAATATAATTTCAGCACATTGTTATAATGGATGGTGCAGAGAGAAATATCAGTCATTTTCTGTTGCAAATAATGAAATGCAGATATAGAAAAAAATAACATAGGAATTTGGGCTTATGTAGCCAAATTTGGAACAAGTAGAATCTCCAGTTGGCAAAAGTGACAAGGAACTCTGGATGATAGCAGAAACTGAGTCAAAACAATGAGAAGTGCACTAATATTAGCATATTAATATCAATATAGAAATACAAAAATGTATTCTCTTTACACAATGCAGCAATTCCCCCCAAAAGACAAAAACTCTTAAGTAATAACAATTTGAACAACGAAAGGATCTAGTCACATACAAATTAAACAGTGAGTTTATAAATAGCTAATATTTTTGGTTCATGGCAAAAGCACTTCTCCAAAAAACTGCATAATATTAAATAATTAATTTTTAGACATAAGTGAAATAATTTAAATGTTCAAGTCAAGTAAGCAGAAAAACACTAAAGAAAACAAAAGAAAAAATTGCTAAAAGATAAAACAGTAAAATAGATAAAGGAATAAATAAAATTGGGAGGACGGTGGATATCTCAGCAAGCAGGCGATCATCACCAGTTCCAGAGGCCCTGCGGCCTGCGGTAAGTGCTCAGTGCATTCTGCCCCAAGCCCAGATTTTTCGGGACCCTCCAGGCTTCCTGGTGCAGTGAGGTGCATAAGTGGGTTTGAGGCATCTACCTCCGCCTCCCCATTCTGGCTGTGCTTGGAGAACTGTGCAGCTTCCAGCAAGCAGGTGGGCGCACAGTGTCCCTGGAGCCCAGCTTATCTGGAAATACGGAATTCTACACAGGCAGAAGAGGGCCATTAGTTCTAGTGGCCCAGTGGCTTGGGGGAAATGGGTGCCAGAGTCCCAGGAGCTGCAAACATAGAAGTGGATTTCCAACAGACCCTGAGGAAGCTTTCAAATAACACTTGAAACACAGAAATATAGGAAAATGACAAAACGAAAGACCAAATTACAACCTCAAACCTCCATCCCATCTCAAGAAACCCTAGGAGCGACGTATATAGTAGAAAATATATGCCGTTCACCTCAAATATACAGATTCAATGCAATCCCAATAAAAATAACATCAACATACCTTACCAATCTAGAGAAATCACTCCTAAAATTCATCTGGAACCAGAAGAGACCTAGAATAGCAAAGGCAACTCTAAGCAGCAAAGGTAAGGCAGGAGGCATCTCAATCCTTGACTTGAAGTTATACTACAAAGCAACAGTAGTAAAATCAGCATGGTACTGGAATCAAAACAGAGACGGAGATCAATGGAATAGATTAGAAGATAAAACCAAAACTACAAACACACTCAACCACCTTATCTTTGATAAAGGAGCCAAGCAGGTTCACTGGAACAATGACAGTCTCTTTAATAAATGGTGCTGGAAAAACTGGCTCTCCATTTGCCGAAAACTAAAGCTAGACCCATGCCTATCACCATGTACTAAATTAAAATCTAAATGGGTCAAAGATCTGAATATTAAAACAGAAACACTAAATCTATTGGAAGACAAATTGGGTAGAAACCTTGAAGACATAGGGGTAGGTAGAGAATTCATGAACAGGACTCAAACCGCACGGGAAATACTTCCCAGAATCAATAACTGAGACAACTTCTTATTAAAAAGTTTCTGCATGTCAAAAGAAATCTCCAGCATAGTGAAAAGAAAACCCACAAACTGGGAAAAGATATTAGTGAACTCCCTCTCAGACAAGGGACCCTTGTCTAAAACATATAAAGAATTACAAAAAACTCAGACCCCCAAAATTCAAAGATCCAATCCAGAAATGGGCATCTGAGATGAATACGTAATTCTCAGATGAAGAAATACAAATGGCAAATAAATACATGAAAAAATGTTCATCATCATTTGCCATTAGAGAAATGCAAATTAAAACCACACTGAGATTCCATCTCATTCCTGAAAGAAGGCCAGCATCAAGAAAACTAACAACAACAAATGCTGGAGAGGCTGTGGGGAAAAAGGAACTCTCCTACACTGTTGGTGGGAGTGTAGACTGGTACAACCTTTGTGGAGGTCAGTCTGGAGATTTCTCAAAAAGCTGGGATTGGAAGTCCCATTTGTTCCAGCTATTCTACTTCTAGACATATTCCCAGAAAAACTGAAAGCATCATACCACAGTGACATATGTGCACCTATGTTTATAGTAGCACAATTTGTAATCACCAAATCTTGGAAACAATCCAGGTGTCTATCAACTGAGGAATGGATAAAAAAGTTGTGGTATTTCTATACAATGGAGTATTACTCAGCTGTAAAGAAGGATCACATTGAGATATTTATCAATAAATGGGCACAGCTTGAGACCATACTCATAAATGAAATAAATCAATCTTGCATTTGTGAATATCAAATAGTTTCACTAATGTAAGTAATGATTCAAATATATAAAAGTATGTGGTAATCATGATTCCCCATTATGTGGCCTTGAAGCCTTATAAAGTTTTTACTTATTAATTGGAATGGCTTTATTCTGGGCTTCTTGATATGGAAATATTTGAAGCTATAGTATATGAAGTTATTATTCAAGTATTTCAAGGAAAAAGACAGACACTATGGTAACTACTATTAAGTCGGGTTATTTGGTGGTGAAGCACTAGGTTGCTGAAACAGTCATGCTTTGACCTGTATTGTTATGTTGTTATGTCCTCTTTTATCTCAATCTCTCCCTTATTCAATAAAAAAATTATTTAGTTATTTTTTATGGTTTTTTTAATTAAGGCCAAAAATTTAAAAAATTAGCAGGATATATTATAGTAACTTTTTTTTATTTCCTATTAACTTGATTTGAAGTCCTGTAATACTCCCACTATCTTGTGTTGACTGATTAGACTCTGTTCTATTCTGTATGATAGTATCAAGTTTGAGGGTATAGGCAACTACTTTGAAGGCAATAAGATTCACTAAGATGCCCATTCTGCTTTGACTATTATCTCCTTTGGAAGTCCTGTAATGTTTACAATGTTTAAGTTTTATTGGTCTTGTTCTCTACTGTTTTGTTCAACTTTATAATACCTAATGAGATAGACAATTCTTTTTAAGGAAGCAAGAGGCATTATGGTAACCATTGTTGATAACCTTGTACTCTGTTTTTACAGCATGTAGTATGTCTATCCTTGGTTTTGACTGACAGCTTTGTTTTGCCATATTTGACTTTATTCTCTTCCAAAAAAAAAACATTAATAAGAACTAAGGAGTAATAAACCCAAAATGTGTAAATTTTGTTGTAAAAGGGAGAGGGAAAGGAGGTGCTATGAGGGATACAACTGCAAGTGTGTTTAGGGGTGTTAAATAGCTGACCATATTAATGTTTTTGGTTGGATCATTGAACACAAGTGTTTGTAGTCTCACTGTTTGAATGTCCACTTTGTATGCTTTGATACTGTGACTTGAGCAACTATCTCTAAGATGATAATGTGTAATCTATTAACTGGTGATTTCTTACTGTTTTGTTTTGTTTTGTTTTGTTTTGTTTTGTTTTGTTTTGTTGTAGTTCTGTATTACTTGTACCCTTATACTGCTTTGTTTTGTTTTGTTTTTTCTCTTTTTCCTTTTAAATAAAATTAAAATAAATAAATAAAACTGGTTCCTTAAAACTCTCAATGAGACACAGAACTAGTTAAACTAATTTTTAAAAGGGAGGAAGTAGGATAAATTAAAAACCTAAAATCAAAATAAAAACCAAAACCGAGAAATGACAAAAGAGAAATAATCACCAAGAGATAAAAGAGAGAATGAAAAAAGGCGATATGAAATGAAACACAGGAAGGAAGTGTATCTTATTTGTAAATAAAAGTAAATAATTCAATACGTACAGCATTCTTTCCAGTTATGGGCAAAATATATTTGTATTTTTAAGTAAACAACAAAAGATAAGTAAACTAAAATCCAAGTGCCAAACAGAAACTAACACCAAAAGTGTGTTCTGGAATACTGAGAATCTACTGGAACCACAGCTCAACATTTGGGTGTTTCACAACCTGTTACATCTTTTATCAGATATGACTAAGATAAGTCTGTCGCATCCATAAAAACATTAACTGAAATTAATATGCAAATTATGGTGCCTGCGTGGGATGCCATTTCATTAATTTCAATTCACTGACATAATTATGCTCTTTAAATTTATGAGTTTCTCAAATGCCATACCACAGAGAATGCACAAGTTAGTGAATATTATTTTACTAACATAAATCCAACAATAGCTCAGTTCACAGGAAAAAAGTATGCAAGACTTTAATCACAAAAATTTACATACATTTTCATAGATGTTCTTTGATCAAATTGTTACAGTTGTTTTAAACAATTTTTTAAACTTTTAGAAGAACATCTGCTAATAATAAAAATCTTGGAAGGTTAAATTCATATAAAGAGGAAACATTAAAAATATGACACCATTAAATTATGGCTATCAATTTTAATATTTTGATACATTTGTATCATTTTTCTTGTACATACATACATACACTGTTAAAAACACAGAATGGTGAAAGCATGCAAAATACAATCTCCTGTTCCACTGTTTTAAATACACTTTGTTATACTAGTGATATTTTATAAAATCAGTAAATAAATTACAAAATGTAATCTTAAATGAACATACAGTATGGTAATTATATAACCCAACCAAAATATTTTTCATTATATCATTACGATTTAGAGTTTAGGTCTTTGAAAAAATTTTAGATTTTAAATCTTTCTATGATAAAACCATTCACATATTTAATTATGTAGCACTCTGACAATCTCCTCAAAAAGCCTTAAAATAGAATTTCTGAATCAGAGAATATAAATATTAATATATACAATCTAAATATCTTCCAAAAAGATTGAAGCATTTTGCTTTCCCACTATGGGTATGACTTCCATTCCCTGGACTCTTGTCCCTATTATGTATTATGTTTTAGCACTGTCAATGTATACAGTATTATATTTTAGCACATTTAATATTATGAAGATTCATTTGCATTTCTTTATTAGAGAGGTTGAACCGTCATGAAATTTTACTGTAGTAGTAATCTGCTGGAACTTTAATTTAAATTATAATATAGTTTTGCCTATAATCGAGTAGTAAGCAACAGGGCTATTTATAATTTATTATTGCTTAAAGTCACATATGGTAAAACATGCTGTGCTTAAATATGTACAGTACTCTGTTTTGTAAGTTACATTTCATAAAAATCTAAACCAAATCAGAATTAATTTTTCTCTCCTTACTTGCTATTATTTTTCAGCTCTATGAAGATATACAGAAAATTATACTTAAGAGAGTTGTTTCTATTTTGTCTTTTGAAGCCAATTAGTTCATCACAATATCTAAATTACAAATACAAAATATCCAAATGTAAGAATGAGATTATAATCCAAAATAAAGATGCTTAGCAAATAATAGTTTTGATAAAAGGGTTTTTTTTAATTTTCTCAAAAATTCAGATGAAGGTAAGGATTTGAATTAAAATGTCTCTTCATGTCACACATTGATGTAATAATTATTTAAAATTTTGTACTGAATGTACTGAAAAAGTACTGAATATCCTTCTCAAGGTAGCTCAATTCTCAGTTCACAATGTGGCTCAATACCCACTTAACAAATCATCCTTAACTGCTGATAATATATTCTCCATTTAAATTTTTGTTTTATATACATATTTTTCTAACCAAAACATACAAAACCCAAGAAATGTATGAAGAGACAGTCAACATCATTGGTCATTAGGAAAATAAAGTCAAAATTACAATGAGACACCACTATACACTTGTTAGGATGGCTACTGTGACAAAACAAAACAAAACAAACAAACAAACAAAAAAAAAACGTACCGGAACCTGAAACCCTGGGCAATGTTGGAGAGAATGTAAATGTTGCTACAGAGACAGGATGGAAGCGACTCCCCACATAAAATTTTAAAGAATTACTATTTCTGATAAAAATCCCATTTCTAGATAGTTACCAAAAATAAATGAAATCATGGTCTCAAAGAAGTATTTGTACTCCCATAATCACTCCAAAATTTTTCACAATACCCAAGATAAGGAATCAACAAAATATCTATCAATATCTATCAGATTAATTGAAGAAGAAAAAATGTCTTACATGTACACTGGGGTATTTTTGGTCTTAGAATTGAAACAGATTCTTCCATATCCAACAACATAGCTGAACCTGGAACATCATACTAAGTGAAATAAGCTAGGCAGAGAAATAAAAATGCTTCAGGACTGCACTTTTATAAGATATCTAAGGAGAGTCAAACTCCAGAAACGCAAAGTACCTCAAATACTGTGCACCACAAGCCCAGGGATGTGAATTTGAGAATTGCTACTCATCTGATAAAAACTTTTAGATATGTAAATTGAATAGCTTTAAAAGATATTCGGAACCAGGCCACGCCCAGCCACCTGCAAGCAGCAAACCACCCTGAATCTAGTCCCTGGCCCTGAGGGAACAGGGAACGGGAAGCCTTAGAACTACCCCCCCCCAATAAAACTCTGTGATATCATTTTCTATCTTATACACTTAAATATACATGCAGTTATATAGTTTAGAGCATTTTCTTTTCCTCTCTTTTGTACAATGACTATTACACATTTTGGGTTTCATTGCTCCCACGGTTCTTATTGCTTTTTTGGAAGAGAGTAAAACCAAATGTGTCATAACAGAACAGAATCGGTCAAGTCAAAAGGGTGGACATAATAGATAATATAAAAACATAATACAAGGTGATCAACAATGGTTACCATAATGCCTCCCGCTATCTCTAATAGAACTGCCTATATCATTAGTTGTAATACAATTGAACAAAACAGTAAAGAACAAAACCGACAAAACCAAAACATTGGAGACATTGTAGGTCTTCAAAAGTAGTTATTGGATCATTGAACAGAACTGTTTGCAGTATCATTGTTGGAATGTCCACTCTACAAGCTTTAATTTTGTGACTTGAACAATTATTTCTAAGATGGCAATTTGTAATCCATTAACTAGTGATTTCCTACTGCGCATTTTTTTCTTCTGTAAATCTGTATAACTTGTACCCCTTCACTGTTTTTTTTTCTTTTCTCCTTAAATTAAAAAAAAAAAAAAAAAAAGAACTACCCCCCCCCCAGGCAGTAAGACCACGCCCTGTGTCTGAAATCACCAAAGGACACAGGGAGTCCCCTCAGGCCCAACTGGCCCATTCCAGGTGAATTCCAAGGGCAAACAGTTGCCCACAGTCTGCCCCAGGAGTCAAAAGTGGGCCAGGTGATTCCCAGTGCACCCAGGAAGCTTTGAAACATTGCTCAAAACCCACAAATAGGTGCAACTCCAGCTGGCACTGAGGAACCCTACACTGCTGAGGGACCACTGGACAAACATCAACCTTACATTAGGACCCCAAGATACACGCTACCAACAGTTGACACTAGTAGGATTGAAGGACAAAATATTAACTCTAAAGGGGAAAATGGCAAAAGAAAAAAGAAAAATGCAATCTCAAACATCTAATCTACCAGGAGCAAGTACAGGAGTTATTGAAACACAGGATTTCAAAAGTAACACACCAGAAATCTCTGAAAAGATATCAAGTGAAACAAAAAACCAACTTCATGAGACTATAGTGGAAATCAAATTAGAAGTACTCTCCCATGTAAACACAGAAATAACAACATTAGTAAACAAGTTGCTGAACACAGCTATAGAAGAAATAAAGAAAAAAGTACAGGAACATGGGAAACTGATTGAAACCGTGAATGAGCAATATAGAAAATAAGCAGAATTTATGCGACAAATTCAAAGGACATCCAAGAAACAAAAAATTCTATTCAGAGCTGGCAAAATCCTATAAATGAAGCTGAAGTTAAAATTTCGGACCTTGAGGACAGGATCGCAATTAGTGATCATGAAAGGATAGAATTTTTTAAAATACCAAAGCATGAAATGACAACCCAGCAGCTTCAAGAGGATGCCAAGAGCAACAGTATAAGATTAATAGGCATCAGTGAAGATGCAGGAGTCAATGCAAATGACATAACTAAAATATTCACAGAAGTAATAGTAGAAAAAATGGGGGGAAAATGTGATATGCAGATAAGTGAGGCATATAGTATGCCACATAGTCACAACATAAATCTACATCCAGAAATACATTAATTAAGATCTCAGACATACAGCATAAAAGCAGAATAATAACAGCTGTTAGGGAAAAGATACAACTCACCTCACAGCAGACTTTTCAGCACAAACCTTCAAGTCAAGATGAGCTTAGAGTGAGGTATTTTAAGCCCTGAAACAAAACAACTTTCAACCCAGACTGATGTACCCAGAAGCGCTTTCATTCAAATTTAATGGAGAAACAAGACACTTCCATGACAAAGAATAAGTGAAGAAATTCACATCCACAAAACCAACTCTAGAAAGAGTATTGAAAGACATACTAGATAGAGATAAAAATGATCACAATCTCCAGAACAACAAAAGAAAGAAACCACCAAGTAGGACAAGCAATTAAACAAGGGGGAAAAGCAGAAAGCAAACAACTGGAACATAATATGGCAAAGTTGAGCCAGTACATATCAGTGATATCCATAAATGTAAATGGCCTCAATTCACCTATCAAAAGAAATAAGTTGACAGAATGGATCAAGAAACATGATCCCACAATATGCTGTGTACAAGAAAAATATCTGACCCAAAAAAACTCATACATTAAAAGTCAAAGGATGGAAAACAGTATTCCATGCAACAGGAACCCAGAAAAAAGCAGGGGTAACTATTCTACTTGCAGACAACATGAACTTCAAGCCTAAAATGATTAAAAGAGATAAAGAAGGTCACTACATACTCATTAGTGGAAAAATTTAAGAGGAAGAACTAACAATTATAAATATGTATGCATCAAATACAGAAGCACCCAACTATATATGACAGATATTAATGGACTTGAAAAACCAAATACATAAGAACACAATTATAACAGGAGACCTGAACACCCCATTGTCACAAAGAGATAGATCAACTAGACAAAATGTCAGCAAAGAAATAATAGAACTGAATCACACCTACAAGCAATTGGACTTAGTAGATGTTTACAGAGTGCTCCACCCAACTATATCAGAGCACACATTCTTCTCAGCTACACATGGGTCATTCTCCTAAATAGACCATATATAATCCCATAAAACATTCTTAAATAACTGCAAAGGTACTGTAATTATCCCATGCATAATATCTGACCATAATGCATTGAAATTGGAAGTTAATGGAAAAAGAAATTGCAAAACATGCATAAATACATGGAAATTAAATAATAAGCTTTTGAACAACCAGTGGACTACAGATGAAATTAAAGAAGAAATAAAGCAATACCTACAATTCATTGAAAATGCAGAAACAATATATTGCAATCTGTGGCATGTAATGAAAATTAAGAGGGAAATATATAGCAATAAATTGTCACATCAAATAAACAGAACAAGCACAAATAAACAACCTAATGCTTCATCTCAAGCTTCTAGAAAAAGAGCAAGTTAAACCCAAAGCTCATAGAAGAGAGGAAATTGTAAAGATTAGAGCAGAAATCAATGCAATTGAAACTAAAAAACATTTAAAAAGCTAATGAACCAAAAGCTGGTTTTTTGAAAGAATAAACAAAATTGACACATCTCTAGCTAACCTCATAAAGAAAAAGAAAGATAAAACCCAAATTCATGCAATAAGGACCGAAAAGAGGGAAATTACTACAGATCCCATGGAAATTCACAACAACATGAATACCTACTTTGAAAATCTCTACTGACATAGAGTAGAAAACACAGAGGAAATGGACAGATTTCTAGAAACATATGAACTACCAAAGCTCAACCAAGAAGATATAGCAATTTTGAATAACCCAGTATCAGCTACTGAAATTGAAAACATAATTAAAAACTTGCCAACAAAGAAAAGCCCAGGTCCTGATAGATTCATGGCTGAATTCTACAAGAAATTTAGAGAAGATGTGATGCCAATACTCCTTAAACTGAAATTGAAAAGGAAGCAATCCTCCCTAAAACATTCCTGAAGGCAAGTATTACTCTGATACGAAAACCAGAGAAACACCTAACCAAAAAGGAGAACTATTGGCCAATCTCTCTAATGAACACTGGTGTAAAGATTCTCTATAAAATACTGGCAAATAAATCATGACCAAGTGGGATTCATCCCAGGAATACAGGGATGATTTAACATATGCAAATAAATAAATGTAATACACCACATTAACAGAGCCAAAAACAAAAACACATGGTCATCTCAATAGATGCAGAAAAAGCTTCAAATAAAGTCCAACACATATCCATGATAATAAACCTTCAGAAACTTGGAATACGCAGTATCTACCTCAAACTTATAAAGACTATCTATAACAAACCAACAGCCAGCATTATACTAAATGGACAAAAACTAAAATCTTTCATTTTAAAATCAGGAACAAGACATGGATGTTCACTATCACCCACCTCCTATCCAATATAGTTCTGGCAACACTAGCCAGAGCAATCAGACAAAAGAGAGAAATAAAAGGAATAAAGATAGGAAAGGAAGAAGTTAAATTATCACCATTTGCAGATGACATGGTACTTTATAAGAAGATCCAAAAAACTCCACTAAAAGACTATCAGAAGTAATAAACAAATTCAGTAGTGTAGCTAGATACCAAGTCAATGCTCAAAAATCAATAGCATTCCTGTACACAAACAAAAAACTCACCAAGAGAGAAATTATGGAAATATCGCCCTTCACAATAGCATTTAAAAAAATGAAATACTTGGGAATCAACCTATCCAAGAATGTAAAAGACCTATATGCTAAAAATTATGATATGCTAAAAAAGGAGATTGAAGAGAATATTATAAAATGGAAGGATATTCCTTGCTCTTGGCTAGGAAGAACCAACATTGTGAAAATGGCCAAACGCCCACTGTATACACATTTAATGCAATCCCAATCAAAATACCATTAACATACCTCACAGATCTAGAGAAAACACTCCTAAAATTCATTTGGTAACACAAGAAACCTAGAATAGCAAAAGTAGTTCTGGACAACAAAGGCAAGGCAGGAGGCATCTCAATTTCTGACTTGAAACTATACTACAAAGCCACAGTGATAAAATCAGCATGGTACTGGCAAAGAAACAGACCTGAGGATCAATGAAACAGATTAGAAGATGCAAGCACAACTACCAAGACACTCAACCACCTGATATTTGACAAAAGGGCTAAACGTGTTCACTTGAAGAAGGATAGCCTCTTTAATAAATGGTATTGGAAAAATTGGCTCCCCACATGCCAAAGACTGAAACTAAATTCATACCTATCACCATGCATAAAACTAAAATCTAAATAGATCAAAGGCCTAAATATTAAAACAGAAACACTAAATCTACTGGAAGATAAGGTAGGTAGAAGTTGTGGTAAGAAAGAATTCATGAAAACACAAACTGCATGGGAAATACTTCAATGAATCAACAACTGGGATCTCATATTATTGAATAGTTTCTGCACTTTAAAAGAAATCACCAACAGTGAAAAGGAAACCCACAGAATGAGAAAGAATTTTATCCAGCAACCTCTCGGACGAAGGACTTATATCCAGAACATATAAAGAATTGAAAACATCAAGCCCTCCAAATTTAAAGACTCTCTCCAAAAATGGGCATTGGAGACAACACACAGTTCCCAGATGAAGATATACAAATGGCAAATAAATACATGAAAAAATGTTCCCATCACTGGTCATCTGAGAAATGCAAATTAAAACAGCATTGAGATTTCATCTCACTCTGGAAAGAATAGCTGTCATCAAGAAATTAACTGGTAACGAATGTTGGGGAGGCTGCAGGGAAAAAGGAACACTGCTCCACTGTTGGTGGGAGTGTAGACTGGTACAACCACTATGGAAATCAGTATGGAGAATCCTCAGAAGACTAAGACTGTAAGTTCCATTCAATCCAGGTTTCCCCTTCTGGGTATTTTCCCAGAAAAACTGAAAAGGTCATATCACAATGATATCTGTGCACCCATGTTCATAGCAGCACAATTTGTAATAGCTAAATCTTGGAAACAGCCAAGATGTCCATCAACCACAGAGTAGATGAAAAAGATGTGGTATTTTTATGCAATGGAATATTACTCAGCTATAAAAAGAATGATCTTGAGGCCTTCATAGGCAAATGGAGACAACTTGAAGCTAACCTTATTAGTGAAATAAATAAGAATCATATTTATAAATGTTCCATTGTGTCTCTAGTATAAAAATTAATAAGAAATGTAGGAGTAATAAAACCCAAAATGTGTAATTGCTATTGTAAAAAAGAGAGGAAAAGAAAATGCTCTAAGGGATATAACTACATGTATGTTTAAGTGGGTAGGATTGATAACCATATTACTAGATTTTGGTTGGATAGTTGAACAGAACTGTTTGCAGTCTCACTGTCTGAATGTCTACTTTATATGCTTCACTTTTGTAAATTGAACAACTATTTGTAAGATGACAATATGTAATTATAAACTAGTGATTTCTTACTGTTTATTTTTGAAATTGGGAATTATTTCTACCATTTTTATATTTTTTTTCTTTAAATAAAAAAGAAAGATATTCTTTACAATATAACATTATGTTCTGGGTTAACAATAAAATCCTACCTATACACTTAAAAGTTTTCTGATGGCTTTTAAAAAAACAAAGGATACTGAAGGCTGGACATGGCGTTGAGTGCTTGTCAGCTACCCAAGTGGCTGAGGGAGGATACCTCAGGCCCAGGAGTCGCACACAGTGTGAGCAACACAGCAAAGCCTTACTTTTTAAAAAGGCCACTGAGGAAAAAAATACTTTGTCATGAAATAAAGTGACTTTTTTATGAATCTGAAATAGTAAAAGTCAAGAGGAAAAAGGCAAACGAAAAGAGAAGTAAAGGTGGGAAAAGGAGGGAAAGGTGCTGGTCCTTGCCGGTCCTCCAGTGTGAGCCCATTCGGGTCAACAAAGGAGCCAAAGCAAGGACATCCGCAGCTTTATCCCTGTGCTTCTGTGGGTAACTCCTACTCAACTGCCTCACTTTTTTTCCAGAGAAACAATAGTCACTGGGAAAGAGACACTTCTCCTTTTCACCACCACAGCCACCAAACAAAGGATTAGGATTTTATTCAAAAACATGTATGCGTGCCATGATGACCTTGTGAACTTTGGCCCTGGTACTAGAAAGACAGAAAACAATAAAATACATTTTGGGAGACAATCGAAGGCTGTTTATTAGATGATATGATAGAATTACTATGGATTTTACTAAGTGTGAATAGGTAGCCAGAATTATATTCAAAAATATGTCTTTTTCTGGAAGTATGACCATTTTAAGTATTTATTTTTAAATGTTAAATCTCAACCTATCTTAAATCAAAAATGTAGCACGCTACACTGTTAATATTTGGAGCATTTTAAATGATAAAGATAATATGTAATTTAAACAGAAACTTAAACAGAACATACAATAACGATTAGTAAAAACTATCTGATGTAATATTTAGGAATTAGGAAATTTCAAGAGAGGGACTGAAAAAAGAATTGGTTGCAAACCTATTATTTTTCAATAGCCTAAGTTACATAGAGTATGTTTTTATTATTTGCCAAAATTTACAGGGATGTCACCCAGGTATTTTAATTTAAATAATTATCATATAAATAACATAATTATTTACAGAGGAAATAATCAACTGCACCTGAGGGACCTAATAACAAACGTTGGGGTTCATAGATTATAATATTTTGAACAGTATGGCTTTAAAAGAGTAGGCTTTCCTAAACCTGAGTCAGAAAACATGGCCAAATACACAGGAAAATGTAGTATCAATTCTATGATAATTTTGGGGGAAGAAAATATCAAAGGTGAGTGTGGCTGCACACAGCTGTAGTCTCAGCGCTGTGAAATCCTGAGTCATGATTAAGAGTCTGAGCCAAGCCTAGCAACTTCATGACTCAGTGAGACCCTGCCTCTAAGAAGTAAAAACAAAAACATAAAAGGGTTGGGAATATAGTGCAAAGGGCCTGAGTTCAATCCCTAGTGCTAGGAAAAAAATTGAAATACAAGGCCATTTAATTCAATTTATAACAGTTCAGTCAAATTATATTTATACATATAAATGTACCACTTTAATAAAATAATCTCTATGCCTCTGTTAGCTTGTCTTCCACTCCCTCCCTTTGTTGCACATTACTGTTACAATTATTCTGCAAGGTATTGTGACCAGTGCTTCATCTATCCATCTACTTTCTTATCCACCAACACTGAACTGTATCTGTCACAGAACTTGGCAGAGCAAATGTGCAATACATGAATAAATGAAAGCAAAATAAATATAGGAAAACTTGACCTACAAACATGCTATTTCTGGGTAAAGACAAAATGTTTAAAACTATTTTCAGAGACAAATTAGAAGCAAGGAGGTAAATTTATTGTATCTCAATAATTTAAATGTTATCAAATATTCTGCCTTAGCCAAAATAAATGCAGAGGTAGAAAACCTAGGCAGTAATATTTTTGAGGTCAGAAATGGAAGCTGAAGTACATGAAGTACATAATGTGAGAAATTCTAAACTTTCTAGGTCTCATATCAAAATGATCCTGATTTCAAATTGAAAATGGAAATTTAAATACATACCTGATCAAGCACCTGTTTAGCAGGGGAGTTACTATAGAAAATATATGGAAATAATTATGGAATAAAGCATTATCCCCAGTCATGTTTCTCCATCACTTTTCATTAAGGTAGAAAATATAGATAAAAAGTGCAATAGCCACTTCATGACCTCTCAGTCGTACTTGAACTAAAGAAAGTACAATAATCCAATCTTACTGAGAGAATTATTTTTTTCAAAAGATCATCATTGGAACAGATCTCTCAGAGCACTGTCCTATAAGCTCTTAAAAGTTATTCTGAAAACCACTGATAGAGCTGGGGTTCTTCTCCACTCAGTTGTAGACTCCAGTAGAACTTTAAAAATGTTCAAAAATTGATGTAATTCAGGAAACAAAATTCAAAAATATTACTGCAATTAGGACATGTTAGGGTGAAATCCATGGTACCTACAATGAGTAGGAACTTACAAAATGATCATTAGAAATGCAGTTACATGATTATACAATTTTCCCCAGTAGAAAGTAGCTGTCCCTTTTTGTTCTTTATTGGCATAAAAAATATTTCAGAGGCTACAGATTTTAAAAGCATTACAAAGTCTGAGGAATATAAAATAAATGGCCATTAGAAAAAGAAAAAGAAGGGATTTCTATTTTAGAGTCCCCAGTAAAGCTAGACTTGGATTTAGTTATATGAGAGGTGTGCTGTCTTCAAGAAGGTAATGACAGCTGCTGAGGAAGTGTGCATGCCCATGGGTGGGATGTTCATAATGCTGAAGGACAAGAGAGAGATGTATGTCTTGGGAAGTGATGTGGATAATTACTTGTCATTAAACAGTAGAGCGATTGCTGCAGCAAATTCCATGTAACTATTCCACATGAAACTTCAACATGCCCTTGGACTTACTAAACATACACGGTTGTCTCAGATAATCTTAGCAAAAAGACAGCAGTCAATGATGCATCCCACTTAAAAGGAAGATCATTGTTTTATTATTTAGTCACACAAAATGCATTAAGACTCTACTCATTTATAACAGAGAGACGAAAAGCCACTGATTTTTAGGTTAGCAAGACCTTGGTAAGATCTAAGAATCTACTTTATCTAACCTGCTGAGACAATGTATCTGATAAAATCTATAATGATTTAAAAAATCTTCTCAAGCTTTAAAAGCACTTATATGTATTTAGATTGGAATTTCATCATAAGCAGAAATTTTTTTTAAAAAAACATTTGCATTGCAATAGGATGTTGGATGATATCAATGGTTCATTGACAGAGTATTCAAAGTAGCAAAAACAATGACAAAGGTATTGATCTCAAAGTTTCCAAATATCTTTGAAAAAGAAAGAAAATAAGCATAAAGTTGAAGGTGAGGAGAGTGAGGACTATGCAATACTCATGAGCTCAACAGGACTAGAAGAAAGAGAACTTTGGAACTTCTGATTAAGTGTAAGCAAATACAAAAATAAACCTACCCACGGCTCTTGCACACTCTTGCTACAGTCTTCACAGAATCCAGGAGCAGTTCAGAGGAAATTACACAGAAAAGAGAAGACAGCTTGAAACTACTGGTAGGAAGTGAAGGTGGACTCTGCATGCGAAATCACTGAGGGAAACAACGAAAGCGTGCAACACAGATAACAGAGAAGGGACTTGGAAAGTCACAGGAGACAAGGCAAGATAGCATTGGAAGGCGTTCTCCTTGGAGAGAAAAATGGACTAAACCAAGAACCGAGGTTTATTTGGGATCAGATACACTACAAAGGTAAAGAAGAAAAGAGATATCTAGAATACATAAAACAAAATAAAATTAACATATGACTATTCAAAAATTATGCCATCTGGTAATGAAACAATACTTCACTGACGCTGACAAAAGAAGATGATCTTGAACCAAGAATGTTACTGCCATTCTAGCCCAGTGAAAAGAAAAATAATATTAAAAGAATGATAACCAAATTCAGCTAATGAGTCCGGCATCATGGAACACACCTGTAATCTCAGCATTTCAGAGGCAGGAGGATCACTGTGAGTTCAGGACGAACCTAGGCTAAGGTGAGTGTAAGCCTAGCCTGAACTCACTTTTTCTTGTCTCAAAAAGACACACACACACAAAAAAATGAGCTGATGAAAATTCTACACTTTCACCAAAAAATTGGTGCAGCTTAACAATATTAACCCTAAAACAGAAGTAAATCTCTACAAACCTAATATTTAGTTAGATGAAAAACTACTTTGAAATGAAAGCAAAGGAGAAAAATGGATAAATAGCTTTATAAAAGAAGAAATAAAACAAGAGTTGGTTGAACTCAGAATACAAAATCATGTTACAAATGGAAACTGAATTACATAGTTCAAGGAAAATTTGATTTGAAAGAAAATATAATTAAGGAATACTAGAAAAGTAACAGAAAATGAACCTAGTGAATGAAATGAAATGGAGAAAGCGTAAAAACTTTCGTGAGAAAGTGGCTGAAACAGAAGACAAGTCAACCAAGGTCTACTTATATACAAATTGAATTCTTGAAGAAAACAATTTTCAAGGTGAATAACATTAATATTTATGACTCTAATAAATTATTCCAAAATAAAAAGCCAAAAAACACACATTGAAAGTGTCCAATGAGCACAAGGGAAAAAAAATTAATTCAAGAAGCATAGTCTAATAAACTAGGGACAGTAAAGACAAAACACTCTGAGAAATGAGTCAAAAAATCAAAGAATATGCAACCAATAGCTTCATCCCAAACAAGACTCAAACCAAGACATAAATAGAGTGGTATTTTCTTAAAACTCCATGAGATAAAGTGCAGACATTTATATCCAACCAAGCTGCCTGAAAATATCAAAGCTATAGAAAAAGTTTTAAAACATCAAGCATTAAAAACTCTTATATCCTCAAATTCTTGAGGAATCTATTAGAAGTTGAAATTAATTTAATTAAGCAAAAATTGGGAAATTAAAGTTAAAAACACTATACATATACATGGTTTATAAGATACCATTAAAAAACTTAAGGATGAGAAAATATGTTACATGAAATACTATATACTAAGTACTGAATGTTCTCAAAACACATAAATAATGCAGATAAAACAATGGAATACAAAGTACAGGAAAACAACAGGGTAAGCTTTTTATATAGGCATTAGGCAAGAATTACAGAATTCATTAGGAGCTGAAAAATCAAATTAAATGTCAAAATTTTCAAATGGTGAATAAAGATATCAGTAACTACACAAATATAAACATGACTGCTACACCAAAAATAAAGTCTCTTTATCAATAAAACTTTGAAGAAAAAATATAAAGAAACCCAGCTCACATAATAATTATAACATTAAATTATATGACAGAATTAAGGCCAAAGTCAGTCTTTTCAATAAACATACAAGCTCACAAACCACTAACTTAAGAAAATTTTAACTATGAAAAGCAAGTTATTTTATCTGACCTACAAAGCACAATGTATCTATATACCCTATACAAGGAAAAAGATAAATGAAAATGAATAAGAAAACCAATATTGAAATCAGTATGGGGATTCCTTAAACAAATAAAAAATAGAAATTTCATTTGACCGAGCTATTTTGCTTCAAGGTCTTTAATCTTTCCTAAAGATTAAAAACATCACATTACAGTGATACATGCACATCCACATTTATAGCAATAGCTAAATCTTGGAAGCAACATCAATGTACACTACAGAAGTATGGAAAAGAAAATGTGCTCTGTACATAATGGAGGATCACTCTGCCACAAAGATGGATAAAGTAGAGTCAGTTGTGGGAAACTGGATACACCTTGAGGCTGTAATGTTAAGTGAAGTAAATCACATACACAAGCTTAAATATCACGTTTCCTCTTACATGAGAACCCCAAATATAAATAAAGTACAATATAAAGAACAGACAACAGAAAAGAGTGAGGTGAATCTTTGGCACATGGCAAGGAAATGGACAGATGTCAGCAGGGTAGAGGAAGGGGACAAAATGAGATTTCAGAAAACTCAGTGCATGTGAAGGGTCCTGTACGTGCACCAAGTCCTTATGAGGAATGTGATAAACATGCAGTGTATTAATTAAACGGCAGCTCAGTGTGATGGCACCTGCCTGTAATCCCAGCACTCAGGAGGCTGAGGCCAGAGGACTGCTGTGAGTTCAAGGCCAACCTGGGCTACATCCTGAGTTCAAGACCAGTTTGAACTACACAAATAAACACAGTGACCCAGTGCCCAGGTTCACTGTAGCTTTTTCTGCTTGACCCTGACAGTGCAAGTTCATGGGAATTTAACTTCCTAGAGATCTGTGGCATGGCTGACCAGTACATGAGATACCAGACTACTAAATTTATCATGCTTTGAATCTTTCACATTGATTTCTTTCATTTCCCTCATTTTTCAGTCTCTTCTCAGTATACAAAAATAAAGGCATAAGAAAATCAGTTTCAGGCGCAATTAGTCATGCAATAATAAACCAAAAGTTCCAGACACCTCTTCCTCTACAGACACATCGCTGTTTCCTGTTGATGACCGCATAGGAAACGCTGATAAAAAGCTTTCACTGGCCTTTGACACTGAGGCAGGAAGAGGTGTAGGACAGGTGCTGGGAGCTTAACACAGATCACACTTACTAATGCTCTTCTGTAATTCATAATCTTAACATGCGCACAAGAAGCAATTGAGACAGGAAAAGCTTTCTTACAGGAAAAATATAAATCAGAGCTAGGGTTTAGCTTCCCTCACCTTGTTAAGATATCTTAAATATTTAAAACAAAATTTGACTAAATCAAGTACAATATCTCTATTATTATGATTGTGAGATTCTTAAAAAATCAACTGAACAACCCGAAACATCTATGGAGTGTGAATATAAGAAAGCTAAATGGCAAGTGGAAAAATATTTACTCCACAAACAAGATTAATACTTATCACACACAGAACTCAAAATAATAGCAAAAGTTATCAGCAGTTAGTAGATGAAAGAGAAATAAATATAAAATGAAGCAACACTCCATAGTGATGAATGGATTGCTGAATATTGTAAACATGTGCTAATAAAAAACTTAAATATTTATAAAGATGAAGAAAAATTCCAACATCACTAACAATTTTAATCATATGAATAAAATCAAGATATCTGTCCCATAAAATTGTAAACTTTAAAAGCTTCTTAATTTCCAATACTATTGACATCATGGGGAAACTGTCATTCTAATAAACTGTTGATAGGAAGGTAAAATAGTACTTTGTTGGAGGGTAATATTACCAGTACTGATCAAAATTTAAAATTTGCCTCTAATTTCATCTCCACTTGTAATTATATATTCTAGAGACACACATAATTACAAAGAGAAACACATCCAAAGTATATTTACTGAAATGCTGTTTAGAGAAGCAATAGTTCAAAAAATTCTAAATGACCATCAGTCAGAAATATGATTAAAAAGCTAGGCAATCCATACAGCAAAGAACAACTCACAGAAGTTTAAAAAAATAAATCTGAGCTACACACCATAGAAAGTTCTCATATATATTACAATGCCATAACATTTATTGTGAATTTTTTAAAGGTATGCAATAATAGGAACAATTTGCACCTTCATAAAATTACATATTTCTGCATGTACACACATATTTTTATATAAGTACACAAGAATAAAGGTCTGGAATGGTGCACACCAAATAGATAATGGTTACCTATGGAATATGAAGTATGAATAACTAAAAAGGATAAATAGGCAATTGTACTTTAAATTAATATATAATTATTTTGCATTAGAATTTTTGTGAGGAATGATTTCAAACACAGTTCCATAACTTTATCTTGTTATATTAAGTGAATACTAGATAAATAAATAAAGATGTTATATGTTTACAATATTTTTATACTCTTAGTTATGAAGACACAAGCTATTTTTTCAGCCTCAACTACATGTATGCTTATGTCTTATACCTATCTTTGATTTGGTTTAATACTTTCTTCCAATTCAAAAATTCTTTAACAGTAAATTTCTCAAACAAATTTCTACTTAAAATAGAAAAATTTTCTATTTTGTCTACACTGGCAATTTGATTTCATTTGAATGGCAACATTTTTCATTTTTAAATTTTTAAATTAGTCTTTTTTACACCTGTGCATTCATATTACACCCTTCCTTCCTGTTTTGTTATATAGCTTCTTCTATTTAAATGAAAGCTGTTTCCTACTTATCCTGATGAAAATTATGGATACTTGTTTTATGTATCAGACCTTTCAATGGTTTTACAAAAAATGAATTCATGCTCAAATTAGTGATGGGTCAAGTTGTCTTTCCCTAAAATAGATTTCTTCGCTTTTTTAGAATGTTGGCATCCATATTCTTTTTTTACTGGGTAGGGTAAAATGGCCCCCCAAAACTAGCCTTACCGAGTAGATTAAAAAGGCAAAAATAATGCAAAATACAGAACAGTGAGTATGTCATATATTTAATATTGGCTCTCCCATTATTTCAGTTGAAATATTTGGCCTTCAGAAATTCTTCAGCACTTTCTGACTCAGAAATATATTTTTAGTAAAATCAAAATTTCATCTAATGCAACAAAGATAAGTAGTTTTTATGAAAGGAAAATATCCGAGTATTTTTAAAACTGAGAGTCCTAAAAAATACATCATATTTAGCAGTCTGTTTCAACTCAGACAAACATATAAATATTGCTTTGGTAGTCTTTTGAAGTTATTCAAAGAAAACAATTATTTAGGTATAGCCAATAACAATGATTAAAGGATCATTCCCTGTTGATATTGTCCCTATCTGTATGTTCCCTAGAAAATGCTGTGTATTACCTAAATGACAGTACTAAATAAAAAATTTGATTGCATCAACAGACAAGGAAACAAATGGATGAAAGAAAATGAATCAATCATTTATCAGAAATAACTAAGTCTTGCCTCAATGTAGTCAAACCTAAAGTTTCTCAGTTACCCGAAGGTGGTTGGAGAAAAGACACAGCTACCATACATCCAGGAGCAGATTTTCATTCTTTTCCTCAGCACTAGCAAGAATACTTGCAGCAATGACACCAACAAACATTCAGCAAAAACCTGCCATGTGAGGGACTACAAAGTTCGCCAAAGACACTAAAAGACAAAAATGACTGTTGCTGTGTGCATTCTACTTGGAGAGTTAAGCCACAGAGACAGATACACCAATACAGGACAGCTTGTGCAAGTAGCTGAGACAAAGAAGAAGGTGTGACAAAGGACGAACCATAGAAAAGCACTGAGGTCCTCCACAGAGGACCTCAGCCCTAGTGGAGAGCAAAATGCTCTGAAATCAGCTGTATGGCTGCAAAGACATAACTGTCAGCAATGACAAGATCAGTTAGTAGAGCAAAGGTTTACAGGAACAGTGGGCGGAAGGCACACAGTTTGATTAAAGAATAGAAGCAAAGTGGAAAGATGTGCTATTGTTTCTTTTTAGCACACATTTTTTTATTATGACTGTCAAAATTTTAGAGGAGCATGTAAGACTAAAGTTCAACCATCCATTCCTACTCTTGTCATTCTCGGTATAACAAATTGTTACCGTACGTAAATGGGAACTAGGTATTCTGAGCGATCAATTATATTGATAGAAAGAATTAATGAATATATGATGAATCAAATAATCAGATGTAAAAAATAAACTTAACAGTAAAAGCTGGCCACAAATAATTTAAATTATTTTTAATAACTCAAAAGTCATTTTAAGAACTTGTAGTACACATTTGAAGGAAAAAAAGTTGATAATCTCATTAAGTACCACTGACGCAGGCATGATGGTTCTGGTTATAATTTTATTAATATTATAAACATCATAAGATATTATTACTCTTGTTTTATACAAAATGAATATCAGGCTTGAAATATTCTTTATCTATGGAGAGATGACGAGCAATAGGTCTGACTTTACAGTCTCGTCCCTTTGCCATAAAATCACAAGCGTATGCATACATGGATGTGTTTAAAAGATTTTTCAAAAGTAAATTCAGCCAATATGAGTATTATTTTGAGTCTCAAGAATATTGTCCCAGAAGTCAACAGCTACATTTTTCTCTTCATCCTGGTACAGTACAGGTGAGCTCCTCTGGATTTTATTTGTAGAAATGATTCTTCCTTCAAACTAAATTACTGTAAAAACACTTACCACAAAGGAAATTGCTAACAAAATCATTATCTACCTCAGTACAAACTAATGTTATTACTTTCAGGAAACAGAAGCAACTAAATTATATAATAGAAATATTAGTTTAAAAGGTCACTGGATGTCAGAATGTATCATTTTTCAGAAGTCTCCTGAGACACTATTCATCAGAAATTGTAATGCTTAGAACACCAAGTTCAATGCCATGAATCAGCAGGTCTCACTTTCCTGGTTCATGTAGCACTAGTCACCCAGCTCTGCAAAGGAGGATGGATATTCTTTCTGAAATAATTTTTTTCACTTGCAAAGAAGAAAAAAGTCAGAGACCTCTTTATTAAGTCTCTCTTGATTAACATAAACAAACATCACTTTATTAAACACATCTGATTCCCACATCAATATAAAGAAACACACACACACACACACACACACACACACACACACACACAATTTGCTCTAAAAGGGACCGGCTTGGCTCTATAATCTCATTTGACAGATAAAGAAACTAAGACCCAGTCAAATAAAGTGTCTACCCAAGTAAGGTTGCAGAAATAGTAATGGAAAAAATCTATAAGCAATAAGGGGCAATTAAACCATAGCATTTCCTTCAGTTATTCGGTACAACCCAACATAAAACAAAGATATGAAAAACAGTGGTATTTTTCTTTCCTCTGTCCCACCAAAATACTTTCTTCAACTCAACTCCATCTTTCCTTTGACACCCACACCTACATAGTAGAGATATTTTGGTGCAAACTGAACTATTACCCTTCTGCACTACAAAATACTTTCCAAACACTTTGGTAGGTGGGACTGGTGATCAAAAAGCACTCTATCAAATTAGGGTACCTATGTCAAAAATAAAATAGAAGAAACTAAATGTATCCCAAAAACCTAATTTGGAATAATGCTTATTTTGATTTCTCTACTAACTTTAACTGGCAAAACAATATAAATCCTACGCAGATTACTAATACTAGCATTCTGTATACAGAACACTAAGTGCACAGCTCATTGTAACATGCTAAACATAACCAAGAAACACTAGTAAGTGGGAGAAAACTTACAGGATGTTAAATGAACTGAAACGTGAAATTTTTCTTTTCCTGATGTTAAGTACAAGAGTAACATTTCTGTAGTATGCAGTGGCTAAAAAGAATCATTACTATTAGGCAACAAATATATTTATAGTAGCTTCATATGTTCCCTGAACATTTGAATTTTTTTTCTGTTATAGAACTTTTTGTACTTCAAGATGAGAGCTGCAAGATGATACACTAATCTAGGCAACTCTTTCTTATATCAAAAAAAGGCTTGGATAAAAAGAAAAGTATAAAAGACATTATTCTAGTTTTTATATAAAATAAAATAATTACATCACTTTAGCTTTCTTAGTATTTAAAACTATATTTCAGCCAATATAACCCTTACTTCTTTAAAGCAGGCCCATAATGTTCACTGTGTTTTAAAATATGCACTATAATACAGTTCTTTAGAAAAATCTTTAGCTGTATCTCCTAACACTGAACAGACATACCCTGGGTCACAGAATTCTGTTCCTAGAAACAATTCAAGAAAAACTCACATGTACCAGAAAGTTCAAGCAGCATTTACAGTAGCCAACAGCTGGAGACCCAAAAGTCTATCACCAATAGAATGGACACATAAATTAAGGAATATCTTACAAAGGAATCCAAAATAACAATTATATCAATCATCTGCTACACACAGTAGGAATAAACCTCACCTTTATAATGGTGAATAAAAAAGCCAGTCACAAAATTACACTTAATTCAATTTATGCACATTTCAAAATCAAGCAAAACAATATGGAGAGAAAAATCATCTGGTTGATGTAATGGTAGGAAGAGACTATGAAGAAGATAATGTTTATCTTGATCAATGTGATAGTTACAGGGCTCACATCTTGGAAGAGTTCAACAAGTTATATACCCTTAAAATGTATATATGTTTCTGTTTCCATGTTATACCTCAATTCAAAATTGTCAACTAAAAAAGAAGCACTAGAATTTTTCTTGAAGATTAGATATTCAGCTAAAACATGAAGTATTATAATTTTTCTTAAAATTAAATCCTCAAGTAATGCATAGCAATATTCAGAAGTGAATTCTAGTGATGACTCTCCTAACTAGTTACGTGATCTTTAATATAATTTAACCTCTCTGTGATAATTCTAGCCATCAATAAATACCAGAGAGAAGTTCTGAAGAATTTTTAAGATGATATTAATGCTCAAGGCTATGGGTTTGATCCCAGCACCACAAAAAAGGAGATATTAAATCACTTTTTTTATATAACAAATATTTATTGTGGTCCTACCATACACAGAACATTCTTCTAGACACATGTCACTATAATATTCAAATAGCCAGGTGTGGTGCTACATACGTCTAATCCCAGCACTGGGGAGACTAAAGCAGGATGATCGAGACCTGTCTAACCTCATAGTGAGTTCAAGACTAATCTGGTCCACATAAAAATAAATAAATAAATAAATAAGAAAAAATATCACTAAACATAATGAACAAGTGAATAGGAGAAAGAAGTAAACAATGTTTGAAAAACATATTTATATACACACACTTGTATAAACCAACTGAGACTTTCAATTCAGTCTGAACACACTTTGAGCACACAAATATAAAAGAGAAACAAGTTTGAAATAACTGTTTCAAAACCAGGCATGGTGATGCACATCTGTAATCCCAAGACTTGGGAGGGAGAGTCAAGAGGATTGCTGTGAGTTTGAGGTCAGCCAAGGCTACAAAGTGTGTTCAAGGCCAGCCTCGAATGCATAGCAAGACCCTGCCTCAAAAAAGACCAAAAATAAATAAATAACAGTTTCATTATGCTCGGCAGTAAAACTGTTCCCAGGGTTAATACTCCTGCGCAAATCTTCATGAATAAATCTTGATAACATGAAATATTTAAACATATCCTGAAAATATGAGGTAGAGCTGGAATCGAAGTAGTATATTTTTCAAAAGAAAAAGGTTAATGTGGTATTTAAGAAAGAGCTTTAGTAGCCAAAACATTTTTTAAACAAATGTTAAGAGATTTGAAGTTTGAAAATACATTAAAATGTTTTTTTTAAATTTATTGATTTCATGCATCCAACAATAAAAACAAAATAAAGGACATATACAATATTACACTGACAATAAACTGACATTTAAATATTTATATTATCCTATAGGCCTTAAAATGTTCTTATAATTATTCACAAATATAACAGATAAAATTTAAGGTACTTTTCACTGAGCACTCTGCATATAAATGTTTTAAATGTATTAATTTTTGCTGAAATTCTAGCTGTGTTATAATTCTTGTATCACCAAATATTCAACTTTTAAACAGAAAAAGACATTCAAATCTCTAAAACTTTATCCAATTTGGTTTCAATTTAACATCCTTTGAGCATTAAAAATTATCCCAAAACCCAGCAAATACACTGAAAAAACTAAACTCAAATTGCGTAAAAATTTAAATAACAGAACAAAATAGCAATGAGACTGGCTGAGGCCCTGTTACATCTCTCTCCACTGGTTTCACATTGCATCTCATCACTTCAGGGCAACCAAGCTGAAAATCCTTATAACTACCTAATACGAATACCAGATATTTATAGAATATTATCAACAAATATTTATTTGGTGCTTGGACCCATTTTTAATTCATTTTCCACAGTATAATTACAATGATCTTTCTAAAGTAATAATTAAATCTATGTTGTTTCTAAAAATCATACATGGCTCTCCTTCCACCGTTTCCTTAAAATGACTTAAAGGTAACCATATTCTTTATATGGCACGACACCATGGTTTAACTGATCAAACCAGAAAACTGGCCATGGCCTTAAGTCCTGTCTTTCCACTGCTACTTTCAGTTCAACCAAAAAGTCTACGTGTGCCTCCAAAGACCTTCCTCAAAACACCTGTTCTCTCCTTTTATCCTGAGCCCAAAGCATCTACTTTCTCATCTACTTCTATCATGGATTGTACCTAGATGTCCCCCAATGCCTCACGTACACATAGGCGAGGTTTTTAGGGCTGACTGGGTCTAGGGCAGCAGTAGCAAACCTAGGGACTGCACGTCCAAGCAGGCTGATGTGTCACTGAAAGCTCTAAAATGTTCTCCACCACTGATCTCGGACGTGCACTGGTGGGACTAAGGGTGTGTGGAACACATTTGGTCCCTGGAAGGAATGAGCACAGTTCTAGGTGTAGAGAATAGAAGCCCCGCCTGGGAGTGGTGGCACCAGGCCTTAGCCTGGATGGAGTCTAAAGAGAGAGGGAAGGCGTGCTTGCTGCTCATTGTTGCTTGCTCTTGCTGCCTCCTGCCTGCCACACTATGGACTGTTTATTCTCTGCCATGAAACCCTGCTTTATATCTAGCCACCTATGGACTGAAGCTACTACAGACTGTAAACCAAAATAACCCTTTCCTCCTTTAACTTGTATCAGGTATTTTGTTTCAGCAATGAGAAAGTAAGTAAGTCAACTTCTAGTGTAGAATTCACTTCTTGCCTCTATTTAACTTAGTTAGCCAGAGAGGGATCATGCTACAAATAGAACAACTGCTCCACTTAAAATCCCCCTCAATGATTTCCTACTGTGCCAGGATCAACCTGTCTCTACCATCCAACCCCACCTCCTTGGCTCTGCCCTAATAAACGTCCAGTCACACATCCCTCCTGGTCCGGCAACATGCCAGGCATTTCACGGCCTCAGAAATTCTATTTGTCCATTCACTCTGTCCGGCACACTCTTCCTTGTGCTTTATGTAAGGTTGCCTCTTTCAGTTTCAATGTAATAGCCTGTGTTTTTCATTTGTTTATTTGTTTGTCTTTGCCTTTACTGAGCCCAGGACCTTTGCTCCTGCAAAGCAAGTGCTCTGCCACTGAGCTCCATGCCTCAAAATAAATTTTATTTTGAGACAGAATTTCACTAACTTGCTCAGCTGCCCTCCAATTTGCAATTCTCCAGCCTTGGCCTCCCATGTAGCTGACACCACAGGCACACATCACTGCACCCAGCTGTAATCGCTCTTGATAAAGACTTGTCCCAAACACTAGAGCTAAACTAAACCCTCAGTAAGTACCAGTAAGTATAACACTAGCTTGATGTGAACAGTTTCCTTATTTTCCTAAATTTCACCTTCAATACTCTCATAGTAGTTAGAAAAATGTCCTCTGTTCTGACACCTATGTCCATATGTAATATAATCAAAAGTTTAGAAGACTAGATTGTTATTATCTTAGGGAAAACAATAGGAGCATAGAGGAAGAGAAAAAAACTTTAACAATTTTAATAACAAAAGCAAGTCCATAAAGGTCTGGAAATGAACCACCACTTACCACCACCACACAAAGATACGGGTTTTCATTTGAGTCAAAAAAAGACAAAAAACAAAAAACAAAAACCATAAACTCAATTTAAGCCTGGACTAGAAATAAAGTAAACTAGGTATGGAGGTAGTACCAAAAAAATAAAAACCTTCATTTTTTTTTCACATATACTATTTCCTAGTACTTCCCTGAACAGGAATATTAAGCATGAAAACTGGAAATTATGCAGACTCACTTTACATGTCAACACATTTTAAGATCCATTCAACTCCTGTGTAATTCCTAGAAAAGCCTAATATTCCCAAATGTGTAATATTACTAATTTGAAGTCAGGTAGAAAAGCCAGCTAGGTGGACATTTAGAACAAGCTGTTTCAGTTGTGCTTCATTAGAAAGCTCAGTGCATGCAGGTCTCTTTTATGTTGGTCACCTGAGGCACAATCTGCTCCCCCACCACTCTGCAATAAGCAGCTGTTTGCAATAAGCCCCATGCTGCCGATGACATTAGGTTGTCTCCTGGGGTTTACAGGATGTTGATTCCTAAAGGCCAGATTTAACACTTGGGAAATATAAAAGACAGCGAACAACTACAGAGGGAGGAATAATGCATGGCATTTGATTATTTAAGGACTGCAACCTATTACAAGAATCAGTTACCACAGAAACTGATCTGTAAATGGCCCAGGTGGAATATGCTAGAAAATAACATGTTGCACAAAAATTGAGTTGACTCACAGAACATCAGAGGGGGTTGGCACCATAAAGATCCCTGGTGAAGCACTGGCTAGTGATGAACAGATCTACCTATTCAAAGTACTAATGTCCTAACTGAAAACTCTGATTGTACACATCAGGTCTTCACTGGAATACCTATTATACTGGAAAGGACATTTTGAAGTAGCTTTGTTGTAGAATTTGTTTATTTAGTGAAAATTTGTGGGGAGAGACTGGGCTGGAGATGGACCACACATTCAGGGCCACAGCAAGGTCAGCAGTGAGAACACAGGGTGCTACAGGCCAGCCAGGTGCACAAGTTGTTGGGACAAGAGCAGGCCAGTCCAGCAGGTGTACAGCCTTGAAATTCCTCCTTGTTGACTGCAACACAGACAGCTCTGAGGATGTTTTGCTTTCAGTGCACTCAGCAAAACACTGAGACACCATACTTTTGCCCCAATCCCATGCCTCCCACTTTTCACTGTGTAAATAAAGATACAGACCATTCTGGGTTGTCGCTGCCTCTCCTTCAGAAAAGTCAGCTCCCACCCAGTCCCAGCTTTTTTCTATGTGTCTTGGTTCTTTTCAATCTCCAGTCACCCCACTCAGGACCACCCCACTGATTATGCAGATCACAGAAAAAAACTACAACTCTTTAATTTTATACCCATTATGATTTCTAGAACCAACAGAATCCATCAGATTCACCATCCACATCTCCACAAATATGTAGAAACATCTATTACATAATTTCAAGCCTCCGTTTTCTTTTAACCAGATTAAAGAGATAGCTCATTTAATTGTATCTTATATTAACACATAGTGTGACATCATTTCAATCACCTGGCTGCTCTGTGCCTTCTAGAGACATTACAATATTTCAGTATTCAATATCAGCTGCAGTAATCTAAAAAAAACCAAAACTATGATCTGAGTGCGCTGTGATCTTATTTCAATAAATCCTAATAATGAAAAATTATAACCTCTATCTTATAATGAAGATACTGAGAATTAAAAAAATAGAAATACTCAGTGGAGGCTATCTTGTTAACAACAAGCTTAGTAAATGAACTTGCAATGGCAAGCAGTAATGCCAAAATGACACCCAGAGTTTGGAGGCAGATTTATTTTAGGTCGATGGACACCGATTAGGATCATTCCCAAAATATCAGGCCCCAAAGGCTCATGAAGGGATGCTTTAATGCAATTGCAAAGGGGAAGTATAGAGGTAAAGTATTTGGCTGTCTTTGATTGGATTTACAATATGCACCATAGTGATCAGCTATGCTTTACAGTGACCAGCTGTTTCTAGGAGACAGAAGCAATCGGAACTACAACAGGAACTATTACCTGGGCAACCAAAAAACCTACTAGAGGGCATTTTCTGCTACTAACTGCTACACACTTATGTCAGCTCCAAAGCCTATATCCTGATCTCTGCTCTGGACTACTTCAAGGAGGAGCTGAGGAACAAATTCAGGTAAGAGAGGCAGCTGAACATCTAAGTTCTATTATTTAATATAAAAACTGAACCATACATTTAAACTATATAGGTAATCAGCATGCAAGCTTCATTTTCTCTAAACAATTGAAAAATGTTAAATAAACCAAGGTTGAGACTAAACCATGCCAAATACTATAAAAAGAAAGATGAATTTATCCTAGACTAGAGGCCAAGTTATGAAATTCTTCTTGAGCTAAGGTAATTTTAAAAAGATTCCTCTAAATATAGCCATGGAGCAGTAGAAAGTCATACTGGAGACAGAAATAATATAGCTCTGATGAAGTGAAGCAGACCATGGCTAGAGTCTGGAAGACTGGAGGTAGTGGATGGAACAAAGCATATAGATTCAAAAGATATTTAAGAAGCATAATTAGTGGTACTTGGTGATGTTTAGATTTGTAATCTACATACTAAGGTAGTGGTTTAGAATGTGGCTCTGGTAATATTCCAGAGTCTGAATTCTAGCTCCACCTCTTTAATATGCAAGAATGAGGCTATAACTTAGTCTCGGTGACTATAAAATAAACACATTAATATGTAACTCATTGAAGGGCTGGTAAAATTGCTGTGAAGATAGAGGTGCAGAGTTCCTCACATAAGAAATGTTCACTAATGTTAGTAATGAAGGTGAGAAGGAAGTAGAGGAAGAAGAGAGAAAAAGAAAGGCTTTATATGGCTTACTAAAAGTCCAAGAAGGAACACAGGCAGAAAGGCAGGTTGGAGAGGGAAGACATGAGCAGTTCTGGATGTGATAACTCGGACATGCTTCAGCTAGAATTTAGGCTATAATAGGTTGGAGGGTCTAGTCTATCATTTGAAAGTATCCCCCAAAGTCCATGTGTTGGAAACTCAATCTCCAGTGACAGATGTTGGGAGAAAAGACCTTTGAGAGTTGTTTAGATGAGAAATGTGCTGCTTTCATACATGTATTAATGCCATTACTGTGCGAGGGGGTTCATTATCTCAGGAATGAGATCCTTATAAGAGGATGTGCTCACACTCTTGCTCATGTGCTCATGCTCCCTCTTGGTCCCTTTCCCTCTCTTTGCCCTTCCATGAAAGCAAGAAGGTCCCAGCAGATGCCAATCCTATGATCTTGAACTTCCATACACAAATGTTACAGCCTCCATAACTATAAGATATAGATTTCTCACCTTCATAAGCTATTCCCTCTCAAGTATTCTATTTCAGCAGTATAAAAAAGCCGACAGTATAGAAGTATGAGCAGCATATTCTAATCTTTTACGGGATATTGGGTATGAAGCAAAGTGGAAAGAACATAAGGGATGGGGCAGCAAAGAAAATTATTTTGATGTGTGCAGTAGCATAGTGAGAGTCTAAGAGAGAAAACCCTGACCCCACAAAAGCTCATGTATTCTAAAATGGGACTTTGGGAAAGTGATTAGATCACCTTGGATCTATCGATGAGTTTGTAGCTATGTGTGGCCTGGTTAGAAGCAATGTCACCGCAGATATTCCTCAAGGAGCTATCCTATTCCCCAAATGTCTGTCTGTCTGTCTGTCTGTCTGTCTGTCTGTCTGTCTCTCTCTCTCTCTCTCTCTCTCTCTCTCTCTCTCCCCACCCCTTCTCCCCTGCTTCCTGGATGCCCTGAGCTATGTGGATCTTTTCTACCATGATGATGTTTCCACTTAGAAGCTAGCCTGCAATGTACCAAAACTTGGCAAACTATGAACCCAAATAAACCTTTTCTCAAGAAAGCTGTGTATGTGAAGCATCTCAGAAAATGAAAGCTAGCCAATACATTATTTTTTGAGTATAACAAATGAAATAGAAAATGCTTGCGCATTATTTCTAATGGAAAAGAGTTAATATAAATCTGCCTGAAGAATTAATGCCATTGCCTGTGTAGGTTTTAAAATGTGCCCCAATAGCATTATCAGCATCAATAAAAAAAACTAGACTTGTGACATGGTCTTTAGAAACTAAAGAACTATACCTTTAACTACATCTCAGAGGGCCCCACCTGTTAACCTTCTGGAAAAAGAACCCCTGTCATTTATATCTAATTGACTATGACATCCAAGTGTTTCAATATCTAAAAGCAAAGAATATTTTGTCTTCTGTCCCTTTAATCTGTACATAAAGTCCTAAGGACTTTCCAAGAATGAATTTAACTAGCAACGAAATATTTTCTCCATCAAAAGTTCTTTCAAGTATTTATTTCCTTCCCAAGCAGACTGACTTCTGTGTGTAGTGGTTAATTCTTTATAAGCTTGGGCTTGCATACTGAACACTTCAGAGGCTGTTTTATTTCAAAATACAGTTTTACTGCAATTTTAGTTGTTTGCTACAAGGAAAAAATGATATCTGAGCTAAAAGCTCCTTATCAAAACAGAAGAGCTTCCTGGAGCTTTAATTACCAGACTCAAAGCATGGGATTATTACTTCAATTCTATTTTTCTCTAAAATTTTGGCAAAACAACAAATAAAGTAAAATGTATTGCTACTATCAATAACAGCAAGTTATGTGACAAATGTGAATGAGTGCCTATGCTGGGCATTTGTTGTATTCGGTTGGGATGATAACCAAATCACATGAAATACTTCCAACCCCCAGGAATATTCCAGGCAAGTCAGATAAAACATACATGGAAGCAAAAAAGGAATTTAAAGAGTTTTGAGTATGAAGGTAACAAATGAAGCTAATCAAGTACTTCTCTCTTTAAATTTCAAATGTCAGCTTTTCTCTCTAAACTCTAGGAAAGCAAATAAATATTCTGAATTTTCATTTAGCCCTTAGAGCCTGGGCTGTGTAGGTGTTAAATCATCGACAGATCATCGCTTGGCAACAGGAAGAATGTCTATAGGAGAACCAGGGCTGTGTGGGGGAGTAGAATGGAGTCGCTGGCTCAGGGAAGGAAACAGGAACTGGAGTAGTCACTGGGAGAAAGCACAGGGCCTTCTTCATCCAGGTCAGCACACCCATCCCTCAACTCCTCTCTCTTCATGTCCCTCAGCACCCCTCCCCTCCTTCTATGCCTAATGAGTCTCTCGCCTGATGTGGAAGAGTAAGAATCTCTATGCCTTACATCCTCGAATCCTAGCTCTCATCTACTCCATGTGAGTCCATTAAGTGATTTATCAGAAGACACTTAAAAGGAATCCTAATGCAGCTGTTAAAATGAGAAAATATATTACATATAATTAAATTTGCATATATGGTCATAGTGTTCAGCTAACCTCTGTTTTATGCTTATAAATGTATTTATTGCATTATTACTATGCTATGTTTAGGGACAGAACCCCAGAAACTAGAGTAGCATATGAGGGATTCAGTACATTGTAATCAGATAATATTCCTTCCTCAAATATACAGGTCTATTACTGAAGCTTATGTAATTATTCTCCGTTAACAATCATGACAAGACTGTCAGATTTTCTCTGAAGCTACTCATTGGTCAGAAAGAGGCTTCAGCTTGGCCTTGATGTGTAACATTTACCCTCTCACTACCTTTCTGATATTTTGTAGTATAAGAAACATACTCTGTGGGCTGGGAAGTAGCTCACACTACCTGTAGGACACTTGCCTGGCATATATGAGGCACTGGGTTTGATCCCAAGCACCAAAGGAGGGAAAAACTCTATATTTTTTTTTCAAATATAATCCAAACCATTAAAGCATAGTCACCACAAAGACTTTCACTTCTCTTACTTTTGATCTATTTTGAATTTTGTTTTAGCTCATACCACACAGTCTCTTCACAATTTCCATCTTGCTAGACCAGAACAATGAGTTCTATAATCGTGGGGAATGTTATAAAATGTAAAAATGAAAAAAATAGACGATGCCGTTTCACTCATTACATTTAATCTCATTAGATTTCAGTGCCAACAATTACATTGTAAACAGTGAAAAATACAACCAAAATTGATGAGGAAATTATAATCTTAACGTTTTCAATGACCAGCTGGTATTGATTTTTGATGTAAAACTAAAAACTTACATAAAATATATATTTTGTTCCCATTCATTACTGCATAGACACTGAGGAAATGGTATTTGATATTCTCTACCAGCCCATTGAGTCACCATGAATGAGGCGGCATCTTTCTTCTCCTACTGCACTACAGATAACTCCTAATTCAAGAAGATAACCAGAAACAGGAGCAATTCATCACCAATGTTGTTTTATCATCAAGTTCTACTTTCATTCCTGACACATGTAAATTTCAAATGAGTGTTACAGATAAAACTGCCAAGTGAGTAGCTGTAGAAATGTGGGATTGCAAAAAGAGAGGGCATCCACTCACCGCTCCTTATTGTTAGCTAATTACCTAATTATTGTGTTAATCTTTAAGCTATGCATTGAAATAAGTAAAATGCAGACATACTGTCCATCTCAGTTTTGTATATGTTGCACCCTATATTTAGTGTATATCACTTTAGATTTTTTTGGACATTTATATTTCAAAATAGCTGCTACACAGGACCTCAATATATCCTGTTTGATTTATTAATATAAAACTGAATCTGATTACACCACAAGTTCTCAGTGAAATGATGTTCATCTACTGAAACATCAGTTTTATTTCAATAAAATGGTAGTTGACAAGGAACATTTAGTTTTCTGTACTATTTTTTACAGTAGCATTTTATATCAGCCTGTTTCACATTAAGACCACAAATACATCCATAATAGCAAGACACATGAGTAAAAGTTATAAAAGCAGTCAATCAGTCATATGTTCAGAATCACGGGCACAAACAGCATGATAAAGTCTGCCAGAATAGTAAGGCTTTACAGGATGCACGAAAAATGTTTTAAAACCCTTATACCTAAAAATATGTTCAAAACACTTGTCACCTAAATAGTATGAAAATACTATCTCACCTAAATAGTATGAAGGTGACAAAGACATGAACATGCATGTTAGCAGAGAAAGTACAAAAAAAAAGAATTGTGAATCCATGGCACTGGAAAAACAATACACGATGAATGACTAGCTCAAAACGAGTAGGAAAAGGCAGAGTCAATACACCTACCTCCATAAGTATATATCTATATGTAGAAAATTGTTCATTTGATCTTGAGAAAGAAAATTAATAATCTCAAATTTTAACTCTTACATGAGCTTCAGGGCAAGAAAAAAGAAAACTATATGCTCTTTCCCCACAGATGTCCCATTCACATCCAGAATACAACTAAAACTCATATTCATCTAATCATCCATCCACACAGCAAGCATAGTATTGACTGTATTATAAAAGACATGTACATACTTCATCTCTAATTGCCACAAATTCTTTCACAGTAATTATTTTTTATGCTTTAATCCTCACAACTTCTTTCAAGGTAAATATTTTCAAGTTAATATGAAATGAAAAATAAAATCAATATCAGTCAAAGAAAACTCAGATTCCAATCTCTACATTTAACCTTCATTTGCCAATTCAAATGAAGTCAAGTGATTCTCAGACTTTTAAAATCATTTTTAAAAAGTATTGAATATATCTAGCATTTTACACTGCAATATAAGCTAAAACAGACAAGTTAAATTATTTCAAAATAATAATAATAAACCTATTATATATTAACATAAAAATGTCCAATCCCACACTGTCAAAAGTTAGAAAATTAGATACATATAAAATGTATATATATGTATATCATATAAAACTATACAATGAATAAAATATGATCAGCTATAAAGTGAATTAGTACACTCATAATTCTTTTTAGAGGAGTAAATGGATTCAAACAATATCTTACTTACATTGAATTGAACTTTTTCAGAATTCCCATGTAATCAACGCTATTTATGAGAAATTTAAATTTCCATATTAGCTGGAATAAAACTACCAGTTTAAAAAAAGAGAAAAAGAATAGCCTTTTCTATAATTTTTTCTCAATTTTTTATTTAAAGAAATAAAAGAAAGTTAAAGAAACAAAATAGAAAAAAGAAAAAAAAAGAAAAGAATTCCAAAAAAATTAACATCATAAAATCACTAGTTGATAATGACATATTGTCATCCTAAAAGTTATTCAGGTTACAAAATCAAAGCATAAAAAGTGACTAGACATACAAACATTGACAGTGTAAACCCTTTTGTTCAATGATCTAACAAAACTTTAGTAATACGATCATCTATCTTACACACTATACATACCATTATATTCTTTAGAGAGCACTTTCCTTCCCTTTCACTTTTACAATATCTATTATATTTTTGGATCTTATTACTCTGTCAGTTTTTATTTTTTACACTAGAAAAACAATGTGATATTTACTAATGTGAGTCTTGTTTGTTTTACAATGAGGATATTCTCAAGCTGCCTCCATTTACCTATAAAGGCCTCAAGATCATCCCTTTTAATAGCTGAGCAGTATTCCATTGTATAAAAATACCACATCTTTTCCATCCACTCTGTGGTTGATGGGCATTTTGGCTGTTTCCAAGATTTAGCTATCACAAATTGTGCTGCATTGAACATGTGTATACATATATCACTGTGACATGACCTTTTTAAATTTTCTGGGAAAATACCTAAGAGGGAAATAGCTGGGTTGAATGGAACTTTCAATCCTAGTTTTTTGAGGAATCTCCAGACTGAATTCCACAGTGATTTCACCAGTCTGCACTCCCATCAACAGTGAAGAAGTGTTTCTTTTTCCTGCATCCTCGCCAACATTTGGTATCAGTTGATTTCTTGATGGCAGCCATTTCTTCTGGAGTGAGATGAAATCTCAGTGCTGTTTTAATTTGCATTTCTCCTGTGAAAAATGATGGTGAACATTTCTTCATGTATTTATTTGCCATTTGTATATCTCCATCTGAGAACTGTGTGTTCATCTCCAATGCCCATTTTTAGAGAGGGTCTTTCAATTTGGGGAGCTTAATGTTTTTTAATTCTTTATATGTTCTGGATATAAGTCCTTTGTCTGAGGGATTGTTTCCTAAAATTCTTTCCCATTTTGTGGGTTTTCTTTTCACTTTGTTGGTGATTTCTCTTGAAGTGCAAAAACTTTTTAGTAATATGAGATCACAGTTGTTGATTCTTTGAAGTATTTCCTGTGTGGTTTGCATTTTATTCATGAATTCTCTGCCTACCCTGTGTCTGCAAGATTTCTACCTACCTTATCCTCCAGTAGATTTAGTGTTTTTTTTTTTTTTTTTAATATTTAGATCCTTGATGCATTTTTACTTTAGTTTAGTGTATGGTGATAGGCATGGGGCTATTCTCAATCTTTGGTATATGGAAAGCCAATTTTTCCAACACCATTTTGTTTGAAATATTTTTAAATTGTATATGTGCACACCAGAAGAGTACTACCCACCAATATAGTACTTCAGAAACTACAAACATCCCTATCTTGGGATTAACCAGTAGCCACTGTAAAAAAAATGTTGTGGACATATATTGGCTCACTGTGGTATTTAACAGTTTTTGGCTAAATTCACACATCTGTTAACATAAAAAACACATTTAGAATCTTTCTTTAAATACTAAACAGCAATGATCCCTTAAAGGCAAAAACTTTAGATGGTACTTAAACAATGAATTTTTTTCCAACAATAACAATTTTCTTTAAATTCATTTACAAAACCTCACAACACAGCATGAGGCCTAATTTCCTGGTAAGTAACTATAAAGTAGAATTAACTATCCTCAAATGACTATGAAATTAAGTCAACTATATCAGAGTAAGATGAACATAAATGCAATTAAAAACATGCTAATTTACATAGCCCCCTAACCATGTTTAATCGTAACATTAAAAATCCTAAATGCATTCCCGTTTGATGCTGGTCTACTCTGTACAACTTAGAATAGTGTCAACTAAATTAACTTGTTTTGCTTAAATGTTGCACTTGGGTTTTCCATTTATACTACTAGAGCATCATGAGCTCTAGCTATTATGTCCAAATATTTTTATTAAACAAATTAATGTAATTAAACTCATCAAACAGATTTCACAAGGTGGTAATACATTAAAAATAGCCTTAAGCAATATGAGTCATCTTGAAGAATTTACTGAATATATAGGAGTGTTTACAAATACAATGACTATACTGAATTTAAAAATAATATTACAATAAGAGACACATTGCATGAGTCCTCCTGAAAACACTTCCCCTCACTGCAAACACTTCTCCCATCATTCTTGCCATTTTTGGAAGTGGTTCTAGAAGTCCTCTTCTGTGAGTCAGTAGTTGTGCTGTTATGTATACTCAATGCCTAAAACCTGAATCAATTCAAAATGTTTACCTTTCATGGTCACTTTGACTTTAGAAATGAGCCAGAAGTGACAAGTGCTGGATCCCGTGAATAAGGTAGATGAGGACAGACCATGATTTTTTATGAGACCTATTTCCATTGGGTGGTGCTCAGCAGTAGCATTGACCACACATCACAAACATCTTGTTTTTGTTTTTGTTTTTTCTTAATCATTCTTTGGATTTCACCTTTGTCTTTTTTTTCCCATATATATAGATCGATTCCCTCAATGTCCCATCTGTTACAGTATTTAATACATAGTAACCTAGAAGCCTAAGCCAAAAGTTTACTTCCTAGGTTGCCTGATAGCTAGACTTCGGTGCAAGATCTAGCTCTTGCCATCTAGCAGAAGCACTAGCATGACTTTAGAAGGCAGAGTAACCTCACTGAGGCAGAGGCTGGTAGCAGTTCTCTCTGCTATTTTTTACTTGAAAAATTGTTCATAAGGAAATTTTATTTTTCTGCACCGTATATTCTAAAGTCTGATTCTTACTTTCATGAGCGTCAAAAGCCAGAGCCAGATTCATTTAACATGACCATGATAGAGATGTCAACCTACAGCCAGTAGTTCTGAGGTGGGCTCCTCAATCTCTACGTTCTTACACATAGCAGAAACTGCAGATTAGTGGCTGGTAGCCTCTGCAGCAGCCTCTCTCTCAGATAGATAGAGCAGGAAACAAATTTTAACTGCATCGAAACCACTATCTAGTTGGAATTTCTCCATAATATAAACTAGTGCTCATCCAAACTGATAGTCTAACAATTATTAATTGTATGAATGTTGAAAAAGAGGGAGCAAATGTAAAAGAGGAGGGAGGGAAAGTAGGAATAAAGTAGAAAAATGAGCAGATGACAGGGGATGTCGATTTTTCTTGCATAAACTATAGAAGTTTTTGATACTGTTACAACCACAAAATTAATAAGAATGCATTTTAATTTCTTTTCTATTGATTTTGTATGAGTAAAATATTTTCTCACAATAGCTATACTGCTGAAACTTATTGACTAATATACTCCCTAATTTTTAATTTTTATAAGTTCTGATTATAACTCTGCCATAAATGTAATTACATATCAACAAGTTAAGAAAATGTTCTTCATAATATACGATTCTAAAATCCAATGCAGATAATACCAAAACAGCACATATGAAAAAGCTGTAGCCCACTGTATTACATTGCACACAGCTTATGAAAATGTAATATAACACTGTGACAATGTTTTAAACATCAGTTTTCTTTGTATGGCTAGGAGCCTTCTGATGATCTCTAAGAATATTTCAGGAAGTCTGTAAAGTCTCCCTTTTCAAAGTACCTATCTGTGTAAGAGCAGACTGTCTTCATATGCAATAGAAAATGCCCCCGCCCCACCACTACCACCACCAAGCCAGTGTACTGTAGTTCTTAGCTGCCCAAGTCATTGTTCTGGTTGTAGTTCCAGTTGCTTTTGTTTCCTAGAAAGGCTGGTCACTGTGATGCATATTGTAAGAACCAATCCCAGGTTGACAAGCCATTCTGCCCTGTACTTCCTGCTTGCTTCTCCCATATAAATCCTAGACCACCAGAGATCAGGGTCTGATATTTTAGGAATAACTCCAATCAGTATCCCTCAGTATAAAATAAATTTGCCTCCAAATCCTGACTGTAGTTTCAGTGTTTCTGATTATCAGTGCACATATACTTTTAACTGAGTCGATCACAACAGATTCAGTGCATAAGCAGACGAGAATCCAGCTGCTTCTACTGAGTCAGACATTAAAGAGATTTACAAAAATCTCTTACTAAATATTTTGTTTGAAAATATATTTTTCATTAAATCTTATATTCATGAGTTTATTATTCCCATTTTAAATTATTTTAAATTCATACAGACATTTTATAATTTCTCAATCTCAATTTCTAATATGCTAAATATTGATAACCAATGTAAACTAAAACTCTTTAGGATCTGCATTTGTTTTACAAATCTTATTTTGTTTGTTTGTTTTTCTGTTTTTTGAGACATGGTCTCACTGTGTGGTTAATGCTGGCTTGAATCAACTAAGTAGGTAACACTGGCCTCATACTCACACTGATCCTCCTGGCTCAGCCTTCCCAGTACTGAGATTATAAGTATGTGCTACTACACCCAGCCTCCCAGTTTTTAAGAATTTTAAAACCGTAAGCAAATCAGCAAAATCCTATAATACAGTATTGCCGGAATTTCTTTCAGTAAACAATAAACCACATTTAAACAGAACCAGCTTTCTATAAATTTAAAATACTAGGCAGCCTTTCTAATTGCTATAGTAGAATGAACACGGTATTCGATAAATGGGTTTAAATACCAGTTTCACAACTTATTAGCTGTGTGGGCATCCCTATTATTCTCATTACTACCCATCCATAAACTCAACAGTAAGCATATCAAAACTAAAATCAGTGCATTTTGCAAGCATTCAGCAACATTTAATTACCCAAGATTACATAGAGTGACTTCTGCATAATTATATACACTTATTAATTCAATTATCGGGGTTGTATTTTATAGCTAGGTTGTTACTTAGAGTTCCACATTCTATAGTATAGCAGGCATGGCATAACTGAGCATGACTAATCAAGCAACTGAAACCCATCACAAAATTCCTCCTGACCAAAATCGTATCTGTATGGCTCTTTGGGAAGCCTGACAAAATACTTCCTTGTTCAAATGGCTGTGTTGACCCTAAAATTTCTTCCTCAGGAAAATCATGAGGTTTTCCAGGGATACACTTCTCATGAAATGAAAAAGTGTTCATCCCAAAGAGCTGTCTGCACCACTCGCCTTTGAAAACAGAAGACAAGCTCTACCCCAACCTTTATATCAGACATCCAGGACCTAGGAATCAATTTTTCCTTACTAACAAAATAATAAGCTCCCATGCACATGGTTCAGTTCTATTTCTTAGCTAAATTTTACAATAAGGCATGATAAGGGAGGGTTTTACAAAAAGAAGATCTAAAGCAAAGTTTCAGGATTTTTTTCTCCTATGCTAAAAAAAATTGTGAAACACTGTAATGTAAAATATATTCATACAAAATACCACATCACAAATTTAAATAATTTTAAAAGACGCAATTATAAGAAATGTGGTTGTAATGTTGCTATTTTAAGATAAAGCTGTTGCATCACTCTTATAAAAGTACTAAAGGAATCTAAAATCGACAGTAATTCATTTAAAAAAAAACAATAGAATTAGAAAATTCACATGTTCATTTGGTTTCTGAACTCATTTCCACTCGCTTGCCAACAAAATTTTGTCCTAATGCTAGTTTTTATTTCTGAAATCACTTAATTGACTGCCTTATCATGTTTCTCTACAATAATATATTTATCTGAAATTCCTAAGCCTGAATTTAAAAATTGTGTCTTATTTCTTAAAACTGCAATGGTCAAACCAAAAAGTATGTTAGAAATGCAATCCTTAACCAAGTAGGGTTACTTTTTTCTTTTTTAAAATAGTTCATAGGCTTAAATATTATTTACTCCTTTTATGAGACAAGATTTCACATCAATTTTCTACTTTTTATTTTCTCTTTTTTGATAAAAGTACTAAAAAGCTTTGTTCACTGAAGTAAGTAGATGACATTGAAGTTTCGTCATAGCAACACTACTCAATTCTTCAAAATCATTTGGTTTTCACACATCAAATGTTCTCAAAATCTGTCAGCTGATAATCACATTTTCCTTTAAATCTGCTGAAACCAAAGAACGGAAAACCATCTGGGTTGCAAAAGGATTTTTTACTGAGTGTTTAGGTCATTCACATTTTCGACAACACGAATGTTTCTAATTTATCTACTGTTTCATACAAAAGGAGTTTTCCACTCTGGAGAAACGCACCATATATCATAGGCTGTGTGTTGGTTGGAAAGTTTGCCTTCCTATTTTTACCATGAGAAAAAAGCAACTGTGAAAAGGGGTGGTACAAAAGAAAAGCAAAATTTGGTGGCTTCTGGTAGTGGTATTGGAGGTTGAAACCAGGTTTCACATATATTAGGCAAGTGCTCCATAGCTGAGTTACATCCCCTTTTCCATTGGTTTATTTTCAGACAAGGTCTAATTGACCAAGCTGCCCTTGAACTTCCCATCTAGCTGCTTCAGCCTACCAAGTAGCTGAGATTTTAGGCATACATCATGGCACCCACCTTGGTGAACAAATGTTAGGGAAGATTGTAAAAACTGAAGACAAATTATTGAAGGCTGAGAAACTGAGTTTTTCAAAAATCTACTGTGTACTCCTCAGAAAATAATAATGTATCACTCTGAAGACACTTCAGGCCATACTCTACATGGCCTACATTCCTCAGTCTTTCTGTCTCTGTCTCTGTCTCCCTCTCCTCTGTCTGTCTGTCTGTCTGTCTGTCTGTCTGTCTGTCTGTCTCTCTCATGATCCCAAGGCATATTCACAGGAAACAAAAATAAGATGATCACCTCTGTATTTATAAAACTCGTACTGGTGTTGCAATCATCATGATATTTAAAATAAGTTGTCAATCTTCACTACCTACCTATATTAGAGTTCTCTAGAGAAACAATCAATAGAAAATAACTTAGTTATGCAGGAGACTCAGTAGGTAAGCATTCAGAATCAGAGACAGGAGACTCACAGTGGCCACTGCACGCTAGAGAGCTGGAGGATCCAGGAGCTGCCCAGACCAAGCTGTAGAATAGGAGGAATCAGGGACTCAGTGACAGTCCAAGGTCAAAGGCCTGAAAATTCACTGGAAAGTCCCTGGTACCTGTCTGCACTAGAAAGCTTAAGAAACTAGAGATCTGGAGAAATATGTCCAAAACCAATGGCAGCAAAAGATATTTTGCTCTTCAAAACAGCTACTAGTGCTCTTCAAAATAGGGACACTTCCTTCTTCATTCCCTTTTTAGTCTAGCTGGGCTACGTGCCTCTGGGTTGGTGCCACCAGCTACCTGTGTGGGTTTTCCCACCTCAGTTTGCTGGCCTACATATCAGTCACTCAACACATACCACAACTGTGCTTTCCTTACCTACTAGGTATTTCATATTACACTCGAATTCACATTTAGTGATTAAGGGTCACACAAAGTATGATCCTTTGGATAACAGAAAAAGTATTATCTAAAACCTTGTCAGAAATGCAAAACTTAAGGTTCCACCCTAAATTCAATGAATCAGAATCTGAATTTAACAAAATTGCCAAGTAATTCAATTCTTGTGCAGATAAAAGTAGGAGAATCACTGACCTAAGGATAGAAATACTTTTAAAAATCTAATATGTAAAATACTTCTGTCTCATAAAGAAATAAAGTTTTCTTCTTTTCTGATCATAAAAAGTGGGTAATCCTAAACTCGCACTATTCTCCATCTTGCTAGAACTGACTAATTTATTTCCTAAAACCGTCAGGCTGGAACTAAAAATCGTGTCTCTTCCTTCCTAGCCTGGACTAAGGTGTTATTTTAGCAGTCCTACCACCTATAGTCTCCGCCCACCAATCCATCTTCTCAACCACTGCAAATGTAGAGTTTATGCAACAAATCTGATTATGGCATTCCCCTGTTTAAAGCCAGGGTTAGAGACATATTTAATGTCTCTATCTTCAAATTAAGATATAAGCATGTGAGGAAATGTTTACATGTTCCCTATTTATCTTTTTAGTCTCATCCAACCACCTCGATTCCCTCATATAATTGTTTTCTTGTAGATCCCTGTGCACACCATGTGGTTTTATGTCTCTGTTAACTGTTCATCATGCTGTCCCTTCTAGGATACCCTTGCCCTATTTATCAGCCAGCTGATTCTTACCTGTCCTTTAAGATTGAACTCAATCATCTTTTCTTCCGGGTAACATTCCTTTATGACTCCCCACCCATCTCCACCAATCCAGCCACAAGCACCATGAACAAGGTTTATAGTCACTATAATCCCCAGCACTTATCACTATATATTTAATTTTTATATATTTCTGTCTTCTTATCTAGACAGTAATCTCCTGAGACTAACAAAATTAACACAAATCAGATGAATAATATTGAAACTCAAATTGCCAGGTGTGATGGTGCATGCCAGTAATCCCAACACTATAGGAAGCTAGAGCAGAAGAAGTACAAGTTCAAGCCCAGTCTGTGCAACTTAGCAAGACCGTCTCAAATTTTAAAATTCTTTTTTTAATTAATTTTATTGATACATTTTAGATATACATTATGATCATATTCATCATCTGGAATTTCTACTAAACATAATATACCTTGATTGTTCTTTTTTTCCCCAAACCCCTACCCACCCTTCAACCCCTGTTCCCCTATTTTAAAAAATATTGTTTCCAACTTTTTTTCCTATTCTTTTTTTCTTTTCCTTTCCTTTCCTTCCTTCCTCACTCCCCTCTCCTTTGTTCCCCTTCTCATTTAAACATTTTTTCCTAGTTTCTAATATCTTTACTTTGTTCTTTATCTACCCTTTCAATTCCTCACATCTCAAATATAAAAATTCTTAAAATGGATAGGCACGTATACAGGACAAAGGCATTGGTTTCAACCTCAAAAAAGGCAAAATGATTAAAATGAAATTTGATTATTGATCACAAGAACTGTAATAGCATTTACAATTAATATAACTGTTTCTTCACTGTTCATATGCTTTGGGTAGGGTTATGTTATTTGATAGCTTTTATATTTTCATATTGCTTCTGATTTTGAAATAGTCTATTCCAATTCCTTTTTGTGAAACTAGATAAGGTATACATAGAGAGCACAACTCTGTGGCTTTAATAAGCTATGTAATCTGTCAACTTGTATATATTAATAAAATAGTAACATCAGGATCACATTAGATATTTGGGATCAAACTAGGAATATAGTGAAATATGACATAAATTATGAACATATATTGTAATTTCTCACTTTTATTCAAACTGCATCCATAATAGCAAAACCTCTAGCAGCTAAAACTCTAAACAACAAGAAGTAGCTTAACAAATATGACAAAATTTAAATAAGAAGGTCTTAACCTTTCTACTGCTAAACTTTTGAAATTTTATTAAGTATAACAATAATATCGTGGAATCGCCTTTACACAATCCTATATTTCCTTAGTTTCCTGTACTTTATGAGAGATGGAGAAGATATAAGTGGTTATTTCAAACTCTTTAGGTTCTGAAACACAATATGCCAACATGAATATTTCATTGCTTGAAAAATATTTTCACGCTTACCCTTTTCAACAATGCCACATCATAATGCTTTATTTCATCTGCCTGTGACAGACATCATTACTAAGCTCATACAGCTGCTCGTTTCATGCCACACTAGAGCAGTTATTGGATTTCCAACAACATGGCAGCCAATCCTGACATCCACATGAGAAATGTCAGGATAAATATGCAAAGAACTATGTATAAGGCAAAGAGAATTAAACAGCGTAGATTCTGAAGCAGGCATTTTGACTTGAGAGTAAGTGATGGAAACTTCCTTAGGGATAAAAGAAACATTCACCAGCTATTTAAAAACCACAAGTTAGTGAGCCCTCAGGGACAATTAACAGGGAACCCAGATCTTCGTATTTAATGTCATTCATTCTCTAAAAGAACAGGAAAAATTGCTGACTCTAGGACTGGGTAGACTCTAGAACTGGTTATTGGTCTGGAGCAGCTCGTTACGCCAGAAAGTATGGAAATATTCAAAAAGTGATAATGTGAGTCACATGCACTCAGAATTATAAAAAAAAACTGGAGACCAAAAATAAACCTCAAAAAAACAGAGAAAGCAAATAGAAAAGGGAAGCTTCAGAATATAACTTTTTTTTTTTTTTTGTACCAGAGATCAAACTAGCTACCTCACACTTGCCAGGAAGGTGCACTTACATCACAGAGCTAAATCCCCAACCCAGAGTATAAAATATTGAGAATCGACTGGTAAATATGGAGAAAGTGCTGGAATTCATATTTCATCATTTGTGTAACCTGGTCCCAAGTTGCACCATTTTGGACAAAGATGCCTGATCCAGATAAGAATTATTAATAGACACTAAGTCAAGAGGAGAAATCTCTCATAGGAACAAGATGTATGCATTTTTTCAAAATGTCTTCTCACAGATCTCTCATTAATTTTGTGGGGTAAACAGTATCTATGAAATGGAAACATTGGACAACACTTCAAACAGGTGTAGATTCAGTACATTCAGCTTACAGATACAGTAGCTGGAAAAATGTTCTGGCTGAACATCCAAAATTTTAATCAAAATCAAGAAGAATCAGACATCAAATGAAGAACAGTCTATTTTTAAAAATGAGACAGCCTCTATTCTTCACACAGTTGATGTTATGAAAGATTAAAAAGTAGGCTGAAGAAGTGTTACAGACTAGAGATTAAAGAAGACTAAGGAGCCACGACAGTAAATAATAGTTTACGGGATCTTGTACTGGAAAGAATGAAATAAATTTTATAAAGTACATATTAGATGCAGTTACAAAATTCAAGTATGAATGTTAAGTTAGATAATACCATTAAGCATTTTTAAATTTAGTCATGTTAGAGGTTGGCAATGAAATGGGGCCTGGGCTGGCCTCTGACACCTCAAGGATGTTCCTGCCTTAGCTCTCCAGTGCTGGAATGACAGCTGTGCACCACCAAATCCAGCCCAAAAGTTGGAATTTTAAGCCAGAATCTGAAGAGTGTGATAAACTTAGTGATTCTCGGCGCTGGTGTGGGCTCTGGGTTCAGGAAGTCCTAGATTGCTCTCCAGCGATGCCTCCTCAGCATAGGTGAAGAGCTGGGAAGATGCATGTTCGCCATGCCACCGCACCCTGAGGTTCACCAGAAGAACTCCATTTGGTTGTCTTCCCTCAACCAGATGACAAGGACCCCGGTGAGGTCTAAATTTGCACTGGGCAATGAGTCTCTTCAAGGAAAATAGAAAATAGGGTGAATTCGACAGAGCCTTTCCCCTGTGCACCCAACATCTACTCCTTCTCTTGCACTTCTTTGAGATGAGAACCGAGAAACCTAACAACAGATTGCAAAATAAAGGTGCAAATAAACACACACACACACACACACACACACACACACACACACAATTAATTAATTAATTAATTTACTGCTGTTAGACCCCTTTGGTTGTGTAAATATAAATGCTTTCCTCTTAGGAAATCACATTGAAATATTCAGTGGTAAAGGAAAGCATAACTGTAACATACTTTCAAAGAGTAAATGCAATACGTATTCATGTTTTCCCTGTCTATGCAACTTTATTCTTTATATGCATGCTCTGTATATTTATTTATAAATATATTCATTCTCTCAGCATAGTGTACACAAACACATCAGTATGTGGAGAGTGGACACAAATAAAATAAAATATCAACACTAGCTAGACCTTGCCATAAAAATTATATAGATATTCTTTGAATTATTCTTACAATTTCTATGTGATTTTATAAAATTACTTCCAAATATAATGTTTAAGGAAAAAAAAGCAGGATAGAGGACAGATGATAAACACAAAATTCAGCCTCTCCGAGAGGGCAGAAATTTACAGATGACACGATGTGGGCACACACTTGGTGACAGACTGCTGCTTTTCTGACGATACTTCATAACTATCTATGTGCTGTACATCTCCTTGTGTGTATTCACATTATATTAGAAGAGAGAATAAAGAAAAACACAATGCCCTGCAAATTTTTTATAACAACTTCAAAACTACTACAAGAATATGAAAAACCCTCACAATGCAAGCACAACAGGACATAGAGACTAGTAAGTATTTCAGGAGTAATGGTCATCAATTTATTTTTATTTCACTTGGTTTACAGCATAATGTTGGTTTTGGGTCCATTATTTAGTATTTAGTTATCTTCTGTTATGGATTTAAAACTGCTGGTCAACTAAACACCAGCTGAATTAAATCAGCATGGTGCTGAGTATAGATGGCCGATCTGAGAACCTTTGCCAATATAAAAGGAGACATGGAGAGGAAGAGTGATGAGGCATTGTGGGTTTCTAAGTGTTGTTTTTTGGAGCCATTGGTTCCCCTGGAGGAGCTTGTCCTGCTGGCTTCCCTGATACGAATTCAGCTGTTATCACTGGAGGAGCTCGGGACCTTGTTGCTGAGAATGGCTGCAGTTAACTTTAGAGGAGCTCTGATCCTTACTTTGAGCATCATTTCTTGGCTCCAGAGGAGAAAATGAGTGCTGTTTAATCTCCAAGAGAAGCTTGTCATGTTGGCTTCCTGATATGCACTCCACTATTATCATCAGAGGAGCTCGGGATCTCATTGTCACTGTGGATGGCTGTGGTACTTTTAGGGGATGCCCTAGTCTGTGTTTTTGAGTTTTGCTTCTTGACTCCAGTGTAGAACCCTCGACCTACTGCCACAGACCCTTCATTCCACAAGCACAGACTTTCTGGCTTCCACCGCTCCCTTTAGGCTTTCCCACCTCTGGGCCTTTCCAGCACAGATCAGTAACACAGTCTTCCATGAGTCACTATCATGGGCTCTAGATCTCCATTTAGATTCGTGGGAGGCATTGTCATGAAATCTAGGTCTTCATGCAGGACACTGCTGTGGATCCAGGTCCTCTGCTGAATTTTCTAGGTTTTCGGTGCTGTAGATAGATTTCCTGCACTTTCTCATATTTAACTCTGGGTGACTCTCATAAAATAATATTCAAAATTCTGTGTCATGTATGTAATTGTTCTCATTTGACTACATTTTCCTATTTTCTCTATTTGTTAGTACTTTTCTCCTTAACACAAAAGATCTTAAAAAATCAAAAAGGAAGACGACTACAGTTAACAACAGTTAATACAAATAATTATAGATAATATTTTTTGTTTACTGAATATCAGGTACCACGTTAAAAAATACTTGCTATATGTTATGTCTCTTAATTTTCTATTTACTCTTATGAAATAGAACTTACTGTTTTCACTCTTTTGGGGTGAAGAAAAGCCAGAAACAGACAGCTTAAGCAACCTGCACAAAGTCACAGAGTTAGTAAATCAGACTCAGAATTTGCACCCATAGAAACTCACTATACCCACAGACCCGGTAAGCACTATGTTCCACTACACTTTTATTACCTCCCCAAACCTAAAATTCTGACCTCAAACATTCCATGCCTACGTGTTACTCTGAATCCAATACTTGAAACCAGTAGGTAAGCAACAAATCATAGCTATTACATATTTCTATTCACTGTGGGCAGCAAATGCTGCACATAAAATGCAGAAAGAAACATCATCTTATGTTTGAACTCTCCTGTTCCTTGTTCCCCTGACCATTCATGGGCAGTGAGGGGCAGTATTGACCATTTATGGGAGGTGAATAATGAAAATGCTACCTAAGACAAAGCATCACCAATAAACAGAAAAACAAAATATTTTAATCTATACATACTAGACAATGCACAATTTTAAAATATTGAGCATATTATATAGAAAGAGGTGATTATATTGGATGCAGAATAAAGGGAATTTTCCAGCATAATGCAATCTTTGTTGTTATGAGATGTAGTAAGTAGATCATATGGCAACCCAAATACATCTTCTTTGGCTGTGAAAAACAATGGGGTCCCATGAAGATTACTTACAGAAAACCCAGTGTTCATGCTGCTGAAACACTGAGGTGAGCACTTAACCCAAGGGTAATCAAATCAATCAGACACATTTTCTTAGGACGTAGTATATTACAGACAGGGTCTAACCACGTATCAAAACAAGCATGGACTTGATTCATGCCAGTAAAAGAAACTGGGATTTTTAAAATTGTTTCTGCTACCAAACCCTTCTGTATCTTCTAGTTCTCATCTATTGTAAACATAACTCTACAATCTTTAATCCTGTGAGCTCTCCTCATCGTACTTCTAATTCCTTTTCTGCTTTAAAAAAAAATCTGTTTCTTTTGCTGAACACAACAATAGCAACAACAAATGTATAGAATAAAATATAAAGACATAAGATGATGAAATTACATTATTTTATTTAGCATTTCTTTTGGTGACTTTTATTCTTTTCTATAGGTTTTGTGTATTAGAAAATATTTGATACTAGCCAAAGTACTTAAACATCTAGGACATAGTGAAGGCTTTCCATCAGTCACTTGCAACTTTTGAAGTCTGAATTTACTCTGATTCTGCTTTTGTTTTTTATCTGTAAAGGAAAGTGATTTGTACTACAAGTTTTTATATTTATAAAATGTATTTTATAGAAATGACAAGTTTCTTAAATAATACTAACACTAACAGTAATGATACCTCATTGAAGAAATTACCAAATTGATGACTTTTTAATGTATTATTTCCTTTTTAAAAGTAATGTTGGTTTGTATCCAAATAAAATGTTAAAGCAGTTTCTAACATAATGAATAAACAGAAATCAAGTGTTATCAGACTATTTCCCTAAGACATGACACTGTATATCTCAGAAGATTAACCATAAAAAACTTGTTTTGAAATATTACTACTCTGTAAATACACAATTATAAAAACTACAGGTAAAACAATGCATCTTTCATAGACTTTTACATTTTGTAATGCCACAACATGCTCTTACAGTGTGTTTTCCTGCCTGTTTCCAATGTTGTACAAATACCAACCCTCTATAAAATTTTAAAGTCCAAAAGAATATGTAATTTCTTTTAAAAACACATTGATAATTTGACAGATATATTTTGTCACATGTGTATAAAATTTAAAAATATATTGCTAGGAATACTAGGGTTTCAATTTTTCCTAGGAGATCTAAAATTACTAGTGTCAAATTCCGTGAAAAACCTTTAAACTGCCATTATCCATGGACTGGTGAGAGTCTGAAAAACCAGTGAGAAATCAACACAAAGGACCGAACAAGTTTTAATACTGAAATTACATCTATCAGGGAATACTACTATTACTTCCTTAAAAATTAAAAAATGAAGCCATTCTCAAAAAGCCATTTAAATCAAAAGACTAACATTGTTAAGTCACATCTCCAAAATGACAATTATTTAATATTAACATTTATCAAGCATTAGCTATATTTTGAAAAGTTATGAAATTTCACTCCTTAGGAAAGTTTTATCTCCCCAGACCTGAGCTTACTATTTGTTAGTACCTCTCAAAGCAATTCAGATGCACAGGAAATTGCATGTAACATGCGTATCATTATGTTAAATTCTGTGTGTGGCAAAAAGAAATATGAAAGAATGTGTGGCCTTAAGGAGCTCCTAGCCATTAAAACTGGCTCAATATAATATGATACAAGCGAGAAAAGCATGCTATATAGTCCTATCTGTTAAGGATAGAACAAATTTTGTTTGAAACCGGAAAAGGCAGAGAAAAGATGACACATTAAACCTTTATGAAAGTATCAAAACTATGAAGAATAAGACACTTTCATAGATAATAAACTTCACAGACAACTAGATCTGAGCTTAAACTTCAGCAGGGTCCCCTGTTGGCCATATGATACTCATTGTGTTCTTTAGAAACCCTCATCTGGCCCACATTCTGCCACTTACTAGCCATGACTGCTGGCAACATTCAGTCTCTCTTGGCTTCCATTTCCTGATCTATGAAGGAGGTCATGGACCCCTCTGTCTCTAACAAGTCTATATTTTATACCAAATTATAGAAATTCTTGCCATCATTGGAAATTTTCATTTAAAAAATATTTATAAAGCACCTTCTATATGTCAGGGTCTATTTTCTAGGCATGAAGAATATATCAGTGAAAAAAATTAATAAAAAGATCGGCATGGAGATTATACAGAAAATACCTATTGAAAAACTTTTTAAAATTCTCTATTCTGCATTTTAAGCAGCAGTAATCAATGAGATTTATACATGTATTTAAAATAGTTAACACTGGAACATTTCCAACTAACTATAAACATTAATGTACAGAGAAATCCTGATGATGAAGTGTACCTGTAATGCCATCCTCAAAACTGTATTCTCTAAATTCGTACTGAATCAGTGAACCTGAGCAGCTTAACAAAAAGAGCATGTTAATGAGATCCACCCAAACCAATTTAGTAGATATCCATCTAGGCTTCCTCCTTTAAACTAATTATATAGTTTCTCCAGAACTATGACATAACCAGGTTAAGTTTTGTCTAATGATGAATAAAATCTATACACAGTAAGGAAATATAAACATGAAAACCTATAATTTCACTTCTTTTCTGGCATTCCCCATCTGATATGTTTGTTTGAGGCTATTTTATTGTACAAAGCCTTTGAGAATTACATACTATCACTGCTTGAAAACTATGTTTTTATTTAATAAGTAACAAATGGTACAGCCTCAGCTCTTTTGGGCATATCCAAAATAGAAACACAAAGTACACTAAGGGATGGGTAGGGGTTCGAGGGTTACTGAAAGGAGACTTTGTCAGCTAAGAAAAAAGAACATTGACCTGCCCACAGAATACAGCAGTTTGAAGAGACACAGCAAGTCTGATGTTCTTTCACATTTGCCCTATTCTGGGTCTGCTTCTCTCCTTTACTAACTCACTGATTTCTCTGCATGCCCTTTCCCATTGTTGCACGCAATGTCTTCCTTCTGACTGATCCATTCTTCTGAAATCTGCAGCCTGCCTTCTCTCAGAATGTGTACAAATGTCCACATCACTGCAGGACTTGCATCCTTCTCTGTAAGAGGGAAAATCTTAGCAGGGATGTGCAACTTTCCTCATTGGGGCAGGACTGTCATGCAAAACCCCATCAATGCCTGTATGCCCTTGACTGCTTCCTTTGTTAATCGGTTGGATAATGGAGTCACAGGCTTAAAAAAAAATCTTAGTAACAGATATATAACACAGCCATCAAAGAGTAATGTGGTGAAATATGTACCATGAAGCTTCTAAGAAAGACCTGCCATAACTGGCAGGTACTTTCTGTGGACTGTTCAGAACAGATCGACACAGTGCCACCACATAGGTTGTATTTACAAAAAAAGAGCTTACAAATCACAAGTACTATCAGATTCACATGTGCAAACATTGTATTCTGTCCCTTGTGGAAGAAGCTGAAAGAGTAAATAAGATCTAAAAGGTACAACAGATATTGTAAAAGGGAAACAAACTACTCAAAAGGAAATATATATATATACATATATATATATATATGATAGTTAAGATAATATACTACTAATTGTATTATTTATTAGTTAATGGAAAGAAACTGTGCTTCTATTGATTAATTTGTTTTGCATGTCTGTGTCTTGTAATCTGAGCAACTATTTCAAATATAACAATATGCAATATAATGACCATTGTAATTTCCTATCATCTTTTGAAATCCTATATTGTTTTGTTTTGTTTTGTTTTTATTGCTTTGTTTTCTCTTAATCTATTAAAAATAAAAATTTTTAAAAACAAGTCACAAGCACAGCAATTCCTTTTTTTATTTAAAGAGGAAAAAAAAGGAAATAAAAAAAACAAAGCACTAACAGGATACAAATAATATGGAATTTCAAGAAAGAAAATATACAGTAAGAAATCACTAGTTAATAGGTCACACACTGTCATCCCAGAAACAGTTGTCCAAATTATAAAATTAAAGCATATAAAGTGGACATTCATACAGTGAGATTGCAGACAGTTCCATTCAATGATCAGTAATATGGTTTTCCATTTTTCCATCCTACACACTCAAACATACATGCAGTTATATCCCTTAGACCACCCTCCCTTCCTCTCTTTTCTACAATACCAATTATACTTTTGGGGGTTTTTTTATTCCCACAGTTCTTATTACTTTTTTTGAAGAGAATAAAACCTAACGTGACTAAACAGAACAAAGTCCGTTAGAACAGAAGGATGGGTATAGTACATGATGTAAAAATAGAATACCAGGTGATCAAAAATGGTTACCTCTTGCTATTTTTAAAAAGAGTTGCCTATATCATCAGGTATAATAGAACTGATCAAAACAGTACAATACAAGACCAATAAAACCTACACTGGAGACCTTACAGGACTTCAAAAGAAGA